TATGGTTTCATATTTTCCAAGAATAGCTGATATCCCTGTATCAAAAACCATCGTTACGAACATCATCCGCAAGCATTTCGTGAACACATATTAACGTAACCAACATATTTGAAGACATTGCCACCCTTGTGCTGTACATATCCAACGCACTTCATATTTGACCTCCTTCATGTTTCATAATCAGTTTCTGACATAAAGTCATGCACATATACCCAAATTCACGGCGCTGGCTCCGGGAGTTCTCCCAGCAACAAGCTCTGCTTAGCTGGGTGGACTCCCTGGACATCCAGCTCAAAACCCAGCACAAAAATGACCAGGTAATTGCCCCCTCCGACTTGTGCGACTGTATAGCCCTTACTAACACGGCGAATTGAGTGGTTGTAGATTATTGGGCGGTTATAGCGGGCTGTCAGTAGCTGACTTTGGCTAATGACTACTTTAAGCTTTTTCATCTATGATTTTTCCCTACCTATCACATAACACAATTCCTTCGGGTCTGCTCCACCTCTTCGCCTGTTTTTTTTTACGTTTGTTTCATCTTCCTAGTTGGGAGTGCCGCGACTTGATTTTATGTTTTCTGGTGTTAACGTACGGTTTACTGCGTCGCTGGGATTGAGGGAGGGGCACTTCTGGTTACCTGTTCTTGGGTAACGGCGTAGAAAAAAAAGAAAAAAAAGAGTGCGTTGGATGTCTCGGTGTAAGCAGACGTGAAGTTGAGCATGAGTAGTGTGGCGTTGAATGTATTTGTAATATGTTGTAAATATTGTCTGGATGATGTTACACGGGCGAAGTATACGGCAAATCTTGTGGCGGCTTCGAATAGGGTGCTGTTGTGTTGGTTGCTGACTACAACGTGCGAGTTTTACAATGTGGTATGTGTTTGTTTGTGAAGCACCATATGAGTGGCCATATTTTGGATAGAGGGTAAAGCGGTTGAAAGTATCTGAAAATTGGGGAAAAACACCGACGTGTTGGGATGAGAGAGAGAACCCCTGTGCCCGGTGGGGCGAGTCCCTCGTCAGGGAGGCTCGCAGCCACCGGGTTCGCCTCAGTGGGGTCGGTCGGCGCGGGCTCGACCGGACGCCGCACCAGACGTGGCTGACCTGCTGGGGAGGAGCGGCGGGGGAAGGGGGAACTTCCCCTCAGCAGTATTCCCACACTGCCGAGGGGAAGCGCTGCGCTGTGACACGGCGCTGGATCGGCATCCCAGGCTCCTCAAGAAGATGCGGAGGGGGGGGGGGGGGGGAAGGGGCGCCGTCGCAGAGGTAGTGTCAAAGGGGGAGGGCGTTGGCCACTCCTGAAGGTTGGGGTCTCGTTGGACGGGTACAAGGGCCGCTGCTGCTGCCTGCTGCTGGCGCTCCTCGGCGCCCTGCGCTGCATATGCCAAGCGGGACAAGCGCGGCGATCCCAAGCTGCGTGCGGACCTTTGCACGTGGCGCAGCGCGGGTCTTCGCGCCACACTCCCGTGTGTGGCGGGGACTGGCGCAGCGGCCGCAGGTCGAGTGCGCAGCCCGGCAGGTCCGGTCAGTGTGGCCGAACCGTTGACACGTGCGGCGCTGCTGGGGAGGAGGGACCCAGGCCTCCACCGGGACCGTGAGGCATCCGCAGTGGGCGGCACGTGAGAGTTATAGCCCTTAAATCGCAGGCAAACCAGGGGATGTGGACCAGGCCGGGACGGCGGGAGGGCAGGCGCATGACCTCGCACAGCCGCTGCCCGGTCAGTTCCTCCAACAGCTCCTAGTCCGACAGCTCGGGGAGCTCCGGGCTGTACATCACCGCCTGCATAGTGTTCAGGCAGTCTGCGGTGGCGACTGCGACCGTCGGCTCCAGAAAACTGCCTAATTTGAGCGGGGCCTCGGCCTGGCACAGCTAGTAGTGCATGCAGAAGGGGGGGGGGGGGGGCACAGACGGCAGGTGTCCCTCTTAGGTTCATGCCCCTTCGGAACCTATGATTTAGAATCCGAGTTGAGGGCCCGAACGACCGGTCGGAGGCCGTATTCAGGGGCCCGGCCCACAGGGCCGGCACTTAAATGCCAGCCAGAGGGCCCCTCGTGCTGATCAGATGCCCCTATGTCGATAATGGCCTATATATCGGTCAGACATCACCAGTAATACACAGTCGGCCACGGCGACATGGGACTGAGGGCCCATTTTACAAGGAGGGACAAAGCCGGAGCCAGCGATTTACACTGGTCGGGGCTCCAGCGTCTGTCAGGGCCTCACAGCGCCTAACGGCGGCGCCGTGTCCGCAAGGGGCCCCGAGTCGGCCAGAGGCAGTATGCGAAGAGGCCCGAATAATGTAATAGTGTAAGATGTTATGTCCTAAAGCGTTCAAAGATACTTCTCTCAGCAACGTCATCACTCTCGTCCGCGCGTTGGCCACAGATTTGGGGGCCTTCCGCTATCAAGGGGCGCTATCTATCTGTAACCGCTATCAGCATGTAGCCCCGTTACCAAGGCTCTGGCTGCGCGCCTGGACACGCTAAGCTTTTGTGAGCTCACATCCTGATCAGTAATCCGCCCCGTCAGTCCTCGCAGCAGCTGGCAGGTGGCAGCACTTCCTGGTGGCTGGAGGTGGTGGAGCCTGAAGTGTTGCGCGTGTACTGAACGCTGAAGGCGCTTACACTAATTACTATTTTAAAGTAAAGACAAGGAAGAAAAAATACAATGAAGGATACCAGGGCAATGCGTGATAGAATTATAAAAAGAACACCACTACCACATTGTCCCACAACGGCAAAAATTAAGACAGAAACGGAGCAAGGCTTCGACACAACCGCCACGAACCGCGCCGCAAACCGGAAGGATCAGGTCCTCAGGCCTGAGCCCAAACCTCAGAGTCCTCAGGTCTTCTTGCACCAACGTGGAGATCACCGGCCGAGGGATCCCGAAGCATGGGATTTCATTCGATCAACGCAAGTCCCTTCTCACGGCCCGGGAACAATCCCTCCCAGAAGCAGGCCTTTCCACGGTCCATAAGCAATCCCTCCCAGGGCCAAGCCTTTTTCAATCGTATGTCCCAGGTACTCAGGTACTCCAGGTACAGGTACTCTTTTATTATGGATCCCTCTCCATGGCATAGGCGGAAGCGCTGCGTGTGACGCCGGAGGGGAACATATAGGAGGCATGTCTCCTACTTGTTCCAGACACGCATTGTTGTCCATTGGTGCTTTAGGGCGCATCGACTATAATGGTCATTTTGCGACCGTTTTGCAAAAGGCATTGTCTAGAAGCAAGACAAAAAATAGACGCCGCACCATTCTGCCAGCAACGACACTGCTTCCAAAATGTGCGATTAATTACTTCCGTCATACTACTCGCTCAATAACCAGTTTCATCAAGAGAGAAGAACGTACAAAACTGCCGCGGGGAGTGATTTCCCAGACTTTTAGTTCGAATCCTGTTGCAATGAGCAAAAAATACCTACTTCAACGCCGATAAAATTATATTTTCTACGGGAATAACTGAGGACGAATTCTACTTCGCGCTTCAGCAAACATCCGCCGGGTTTAAAAACCGCGGCTGATTCGCCCGGGGAGTACAAGTTTGCTTCGAAACTGAACTGAAACATAAAGATGCTCTGCAAAGTCCTAAAATGAGTGGTTGTGGCCATGGAGGAGCCGGAGCAAGCTCAAGGGCGGAGGCGTAGGACGTGGCACGACTGAATCAAGCTGCAATGAGAAATGGCCGAGTCACCCCGGTGAGTATATTCATGTTACTTGTGGCGCTGATGGTGGTGACTGTTCTTCGTCTTCTGTTCGACAAGACATACGTTTGAAACCGCCTGACCTTACCGGCATCGTTGGCACATGACAAGTGTTTTGGTTACATAGCACTACTTTTGCGTGGGGCAAGTTGATGTCAAAGGAATAATTATTTTCATTTCATCTACATAAGTACCACGACAATTGAAGGGATGCGAGTTTAATCTACATTTGTCAAACGTGTAGCAGCTGGGTGCTCTTAAAACCAGTCCTTCAACTTCAAACACATGTTTGTTGTCTTTAGATCACTTGTCAATACTTATAATCTTCAAATGTTTCCAGAAGCTGTTTTCGGATCTTTTCGGACCTTTGGTGGCAGAGGTCATCTCAGGGGCTATCGGCCCAGATCTAGCCCACGATACCCGGCAAGACCGTGCACTGGCACCACGCGAGCAGTTGCTCACGGCGCTCAGGTTAGTGATGCTGCAAAATTAATCCTGCCACATGTGAAGGCATAATGATAATCATGTATAAGATATCTGTCATTTGCCTTAGCCGTAGATAGGCGTGACATGATGCGTGATGGACATAATATATTATGTGCGTGACTGGTACCGTTGGCAACCATCAGTCACATACAGTGACTGGTCAATACGCCGTGTCTTCATGCTGCGTGCGGCACATGCATCGCAATGCGCTTGAAACATGTGCTCGGAACGTGGAAATCCCACGCTATTTAAAAGCATGTGACGTAAAATAACCAACAAAACCTGTGCTTTGTTTGCTACGTCGCTAACCGCACAAGAAACGTTTGGAAAAAATGAAGTGAGAACTCTCAAGACAGTCTTTCGAGTCAAACCGTCATGTCGAAACATGCCAACACGTCATGTCATGTCAAACAGTCAGGTCAAACAAACTTCCGGCCCAAATTTCACAAGAAATTTCAGGCTCTTCGCATCCTCTGGGTTTTATCTGTTTGTGGCGGCCGGTCATGAGCTGTCGAAGTTCACTGCACGCCACGTCAGCTATCGCATAAGCGCGGCAACACAGGCTCGTCTAGCTGGCGCCGTGGCGTGGCCAACCGGACAAAAGCTGCAGGGAGTCCTGACAAAAAGCTATCGCATGCAGGGCCCTCCGGCTGATGTGAGTAGCCTGCCAGTGAGACGTAATATCTGCACGACTGCCTCGAAACGCATCCCGTCCTGGATTGCCCTGATCGTCATGTGAACCCGTCGTTTACCACGCGCTCGACATAGTTGTACTCCTGACGGTTCTTGGCCCAAAGGCGCCGACCACTCCCGTTCTGTAGACGTTTATTGGCGCAAATCTCGCAAGAGTATCCGTCCAAACACATTTACATCGCACTCTCGCTCTCGATGCTCCACTTTCTTCTTCCAAGTTTAGCCCCGCTCCGAGCGCACCACGTCCGAAAGTAAAAGCGCTCTCACAAGTGCCGAAGACAGCGCCACGCGCTAGAACTCGTCCATGTCCTTCGGAGCATCCAGGTCCCGATAGCTGCTCAGCGGCCTGACGTGCCTGAAAACAGCGCACCGTCATCAGCAAACACGGCTTTCACGAACACGGCAGAAACCCGTCACCGCCCAGCGGCTGATGCGGGCTGCAACACCGCAACGACCGCTCACCGCGGATCGGGCCGTCCAATCGGCGCCCAGTCTCGACCAACAAGCGCGCGCCACGTACGAGCCAGCTCGCCCTGACAAAGTCTTTCGACACTGAACAGAAGTGCATAGGAAGGCGGATCGTGACCCGGCTAGAATTTCATCCGTTTCTGTTGGCCAAGCGCTGCGTGAGCCAGGACAGCAGAGCGGCACGTGATTCGTGAGCGAGACCTCTTTCAATGTGAAAAACCCGTCAGACGGCGCGCGGCGCGGCGGCGGTGGCGGCAGGCGCGCCGCCGCGCCGCGGCCGCCGGCGTCGCCGCTATACATACGTGGCCGCAGCAGCTGTGGGAATTACAACAAGTCAACGTCGGGCGGCGCGTCCAGGTCCTGGTAGTCGACGATCCTCCGCGGGTCCCTGTCGAGACACACACAGGTGGAGGGCATCAGGTGGGGCGCCGGGCCGGCCGCCCCCGGCCGCGCCACACACGCGCCCGACAGCCGTCTTTGCAGACACGAGCGTGCGGGGCACATGCAGACCGGTCGCGAGTCACGCGGGCGGACGGGCCGGAGGGCGGCTGCCGGCCGGTGACGCGGGGGCAGCGTGCCGGCCGCCGGGGTCGAGGTGCCGGGCCGCGGGCTTCGGCCGCGCGTCGGTGCGTTTCTGACCCGCTGTCGCCGCCGGGCAGTGCGGCGTGTAGAGATCAGTGCGCCCGACAGTCCGGCCGCAGCAGCCGCAGCCGACACACGGCCCCTGTCCCTCCCGCCCTCGCCTACAGTCCACGCCGCCAGCATCGGGGCACGAGCGGCCCCAACGCCACAGCCGGCGCCCAACAGGCGTCCGTGAGTGATGATGATGATTTGGGCTTCAGGGCGCGCCGACTGCCCCGGTCATTTGGCGCCCATTAGCGTCGGTGAAACAGCGTCCCGAAGCATAAGTGGGAACTTTAGCCGTTCGCTGCGGATTTTAATCTTTGAAAATGCGAAACTGGCCCTGAGACCAGATCCTAAACATTGAATGACCTGCTGGTGCAGTCCGCCGTCGCATTTTAATTTCGTATTTAGTTGCGACCGACGAAAATGAAAGCCGCACACAAATTAACTCGAAGCAAACAACTCCAATCATTCTTATCCATGACTCGCAACAAGCTGTAGGGAGACTGACTATTACTCATAACGTCAAGCGGCGCACGACGTCGCATACCCTTCAGGAGCGACAAATTCTGCCCAGGCCATGTCAGTGCTCACGGCCGCAGCCAAAATTTGTACAGCCCAGCGTGGGAGTCCAATGCGCTGACCCAGTGGCTATAGTGTCCCCATGGAAATCGGCTGGCATCGCCTGCTATTTAAATGCGCATGCAACTGCTAAGGCCATGCAAATTAATGCAACCAAAAGCTCTGGTGTTAGACTATTGCTTATTTCGCGTGGAAAAGATGACATAGCAAATGATAGCATGGAAAACGTCGGGGAACAAATCGAGATAAACATACGTTATGCGGCAATAGTACGACAGAAAACCGCATGGCGGATCGTGCTTAAAAGGTCGCGTGGCATACGAATGGTTGGGAAAAAGGAGCTAATTCATATATATATATATATATATATATATATATATATATATATATATATATATGAACATATATATACTAAATATGATTTAAAATAAAAAATAGAAAAAATATATGTGCGTGCGTGCGTGCGTGCGTGTGTGTGTGTGTGTGTGTGTGTGTGTGTGTGTGTGTGTGTGTGTGTGTGTGTGTGTGTGTGTGTGTGTGTGTGTGTGTGTGTGTGTGTGTGTGTGTGCGTGCGTGCGTGCGTGCGTGCGTGCGTGCGTGCGTGCGTGCGTGCGTGCGTGCGTGCGTGTGTGTGTGTGTGTGTGTGTGTGTGTGTGGTGTGTGTGTGTGTGTGTGTGCGTGTGCAACGGTGTAACGCGCACTTACGCACGCGCGCGCGCGCGCGCGTGTAAGTGCGTGCAAATATCAGTGCATAAATCGTAAAAGATCAGATATGAAAGATCTTCAAGAATGGCGATCGCATTGCAAAACATCACAAGCAACAGGCCGAATGTACAAAAATCATAAGTGGGTTATGGAAACATACAACAGCTAAATAAATGCGTATGATATAATTCAATACATGTGGTATTTTGTAATTTAAATGAATGTATAATATGATATAATAAGCATAAACATTCGTGCAAGATAAAGATGGTCAGCCATAAGTGTATATGATGAAGTAGCATCACAACACATGGTAAAGGTCTAAGGGAACCAGGACAATAAATGTGCAAGCACTGACACTAAGTGGAGCGAAAAGGGTTGCAAGTCTTCAAAGACTGCAGTGACAGCACTGGATGCTGTTATACATTCAGTTGGAGAGGTCACATTCACAGTCTCATTCAACCCTGTACCAATGCTACAAACTGAGAGGTTACGTACTTCACGTATTGATTTTATGAAGCTGCGAATAACGTGATGGATATTGGTATACAGACTGCTCCGGGGCAGATCGGTGGGTTTAATCCCACGAATCTGGTAGATTAATCCACATAGATGAGTCCACTAACTGGCGCCCCCTAGTGTTACGCCGAATAACCGAATCTAAAAAACCCGGACGCATTTACGGAACTTCTCACCAAATTCCACTCGAAGAATATCTCAAAAGCGCATGTGTCGATCACCCAGGACATGCTTGGTTCCGCCTACATTTTCAACCGACGCCAAACCAATGCCAGGCACTAGTTCATTTCCGTTATTTTACTTGTAACGGAGCACGACACACGTCGTCACGCACCCTTCCATGGAGCACCAGCAGCTACATTGGCCATATTAGCGCCCCGGGGTCGCGACGAAACCGGGATTCGAACCCGGGCGTACACGTGGGTGCCCAAGGCGATAACCCATCGGCCACTTCCCCATTACAACCTCAATTTCGTGCGATGATTTGACATACGGTCAGGTGTCATGTCCCGTACCAGAATACCAGGTCACCGTGGTTATGCTGGTGCGACAACCCATACCGCACAATACCGTGACATGACGTCCACAAACTAAATTTGTCCTTAGTGATGTGTTGTGCCGGAATGTGGCGTAATAAATTTGTCCTTGGTAATGTGTGTGCCGGAATGTGACGTAAGACAGAGCGATACGAAGAGTATAATACAGCTAATTTGGATATGATGCTGAAACGAATTCAAAAGCAGTTCAGGGGAGAGATTAAGTTCATTTTGAAGGGGGCGGGGTTAACTCCAAATTTGGTGTTAATAGCGCAAAAACGTAGCAAAGAAGGTGCAAAATTGTGTTTTATATTACATTAAGAGAGTCTATGACCCAAGCCGCAGTGACCTCAGCCCCCCCCCCCCCATTTTGGACTTGGTCCCACGCTCATGCACTACGTTCACCAGTGCGTTCAAAGTGGATTACAAGAAAGCTTGCGGGTTCTGAGAGCATTGTCAGTAACATTGTCCATCGCTCATCTGAAAATGTGCATCTTTTTCGTTTGAACCTCCCACGTTCAATGTTGGAGAGAATGAACCCACCAACACATAATTTTTTAGTCAAAAACGTAAAAACTTAACAAAACCAATTCATTTAGTGCCTCTCTCCACTCTATCACTATTCTCCTTAAACCGACACAATTCCACGTAACTTGGGTCTCGACATACATCGTACGAGGCAAGAAGAAAACAGTGGTTTTATCATGACAATACCATAGATCACAGCGTCACAGTCGAATACCAAGAGCAAACTCAGTAATAACAGTCGATATGTGGAAATAATTAAGATCCAAACGCTGCTTGGAATAAGGGCGTTCCACTAATTCAGGGAAAGAGTCTTGTCTCTTATAAAGACTCATTAGTCTTAACAAACTAACAGAGCCCATAAGAAAGGTGTCTTAAGGGAACATGCTTTTTGTTGCGGAGCCACGAATTACGCGCCTGCAAGGCCGTTAACATGCATTTCTGAAACAAACGTTTGCACTTCGCATTTGTCTGACAACAATTATCAAGCATTCCTTTGGATGTTTTAATTTAAGTCGATGTACACGAGCGTTGGTGGAATGTTGGCGGTGTGTTCTGAGTGAAATGGGAAATTTTGCTCATGGTCATGTTTTTATCCTATATGCTCAGCACAATTTTCACTGGGCATCTAGGAGTTCGCTGGGTCTGCTCTGACTTCAATACACCAAAGAAATGACACAGAGAGCTAAAGAAGAACCGACTGGCAGCCATCGCTACACGCAACGGCGACTACTACAACTACAAGAAACAGGCAAAATAGCAAGATGGCAAGAGACGCGGGCGCAAGGCGTAAGCGCCGCAGGCGTAGGACGTCTGGCGCGAGCTACATCGGCAGGCCACAAATTTGGCGCTCTGCAGGGTCGCCGCCACACGGCCCGCTGTGTGAGCTCTGCCGCATCGAGGGTGGCGGAAGGGGAGGGCGAGGGGCCCCGCCGCGCTGGCGACTGTGGGACCGCTCCCACCGTCACCACACCGCTGACGGGGCGCGGGAGCGGAGCGGAGGGGGCCTCGTGTGACGGCGGCCGGCAGCGGATCCCGGTGGGCTGGGGGAGGAGCGGCGCGCCTCCCGCCCGGCCCGGCAGGCACCACACCGGACCCACGCCGCCGAAGCCGCCGCGGCTGGTCAGACGTCGCCCCCGGCGCCGGCACCGTCAGACGTCCCGGGCGCGGTCGACCGCAGCCACCACAGCGTCACGTCACACGAGCACGCGGCACGGCCGGACGCGTGCCGGCCGCTGGCGCGCACTCACCGGCGTCCGTAGGGTCGCGGCGGGCGCGGGTAGGCGTCCCGCGGCGGCAGGTATGGCTCGCGGTAGTACGGGTCGCGCGGCGGCGGCGGCTGGTAGCTGCCATACATCGGGGGCCGCTGGTAGCCGCCGTAGCCGCCGTACCCGCTGTCGGCGGAACAGCGCGCGTCAGCACACACACGCACACACATATCATCGCAACGTGACGTCTGCGGCGATGAGCCAATCAGGACCGGGCACCGTCGCTCTCGGCTGAGCGGAGCTCGGCGAGCCCATGGACGGCACGGGCGGCCACCGAGCGCCACAGGGCGCCGCTCTGGCCGCCGACACCGGACACGGCCGTCGGCGCCAGCTGTGCCCCCCGCCCCGCCCTGCCCCCGGAGATCCCGCACACAGCCATGGGCGCGCCATCGGCCCACCGCGCCAGCCCGCCCGACCGCCGTCAGCCGCGGGCAGCGTCGGCGCCTCACGTACTGGTGCGGCGGCGGCGGCCCCGGCTGCGGGTACGGGCCCACGTGGAACTGCGCCGGCGGCTCCTCCTTCCGGCTGGGCCCGGCCCCGCCGCCGGCCTTGGCCGACGGATGGTCCGGCAGCTGCGGCCGCTTCGGGTCGCGCAGGTAGTTGTTGAAAAACTCCACCTGCGAGCGAGGAGCGGATGCTGAGACCGGGGGAGCGACACAGGGCGGACTGACAGTAGGAGACACTGACGCCGGAGTAAAACCAGAACACTCGCAGATCACAAGCTGGCGGTGAGATCGAGCGAACGACACCGGACAAAGTCACAAAGCACAGGACAGACCGGCAACGGGGAGAGACGGGGACCGACAGCAGACTGACACCAGGCGGACTGACAGGGCAGACCGGAAGTGGAAGGAACCGACAGCAGACTGACACCTGGCGGACTGACAGGGCAGACCGGAAGTGGAAGGAACCGACAGCAGACTGACACCTGGCGGACTGACAGGGTAGATTGGCAACGGAAGGCATCGACATCAGACTGACAGGGCAGATTGGCAGCGGAAGGAGCCGACAACAGACTGACAGGACATATTGGCAGCGGAAGGAACCGACAACAGAATGACACCTGGCGGACTGACAGGGCAGATCGGCAGCGGAAGGCACCGACATCAGACTGACACCAGGCGGACTGACAGGGCAGATTGGCAGCGGAAGGCACCGACATCACACAGACACCTGGCGGACTGACAGGGCGGATTGGCAGCGGGAGGAACCGGCTGCAGACTGAAACCAGGCGGAACTGCACAGGGCACCGGACGCTCCAATAACAGGGCAGATCGGCATCCCAGGTCTTTTTATCTTCATCGACTCTCTTCACTGGCCGATGTCACCACCATGTCGCCACTGTACGTCCACAATTTGGGACTTCGGGCATAACTGACCGCAACGTCAAATGTAATGAGCTTCGGCTCGTTCAAGAATGATTGGTCCAGAACCAGCTGATACTCACCTCAGCGGGTGGATGGCACGGGGCCCAATCACCTCAGCAGTTGGAGGGCGCCGGGCCGCACTCACCTCAGCAGGTGGAGAGCGCCGAGCCGCACTCACCTCAGCAGGTGGAGGGAACCGGGCCACACTCACCTCGGCCGGTGGAGGGCACCTGACACATTTACCTCACAGGTCGGTGGTGCCGGCCGCTGTGGCTTAGGGCTCAACTGGCCGGTAGTTTGACGGAAGCGAATTTTTCGACGCGAAGCTACTGCTCGTGGCATTTAAACATGTTGCAGAAGCGTTAATTTCCTCATAGAGTTTTACATGTGCAGTTCAAGGCACGAAGTAAAGAAGAGAGAACATGATCCGAGTCAACTCTGTGACCTCATCAGCCGTGAGTTCCAGCTGCGGCTTCTCGGCGCCGATAAATGTTTGTACTAGAGGCCCATGCCGGTCACCGAGTCGAACCCTTCACCCCCCCCCCCCCCCCCCCCCCCACCACCACGACGCGGCAGCACGAGGAGGCATCTGGCCCACAAGGCAGACAAATTGCTCGCCAAAGTTCATCTAAAAACATTGCAGTGGACTGCATGTTCGGCCACGCCGTCCGACCAATGTTCAAGCATGGCTAGTTCGACGAGACTCATCCGGCGTAAATGGAAGATGCGGGACCGCAAGACCGTGCAAGCTAAATGCTCGCCAAACAGACGTATAACGCTGAGCCCACAAGTCACGTATATTACCTTCTTGTTATGAAAGGAGGGTACGAAAAAACTGAAACGTGCGGCAAAATTATAAAAACCATGGCAACATGAATTGGTGAGCATATTTCTGGGTGCAATTTATGTTAAAATCGCACACCCAGTTGTGGCACGCCACTTAATTGGTGATGGTTCAGTTTGACGTCAAAAACGCTCTGATCATTTGAGGAAAAAAGCAAAAAAAGAAGAAATGTTACGGGTCGGCCCAATGCATGGCCAGTCGTGGCATGCAATAGGCACGCTCATAACACCGCTCGCATAACACATAATCACATAACACATAACATAACAAATGATCGCATAACACATGATCCTTGCACATTACATTAACACATCCATACACATTAAACGCCATAGTTGTTCATGTCTGGAGCGGGTCAATACCACGCGGCTGTTTTTAGGTTTCATAATGTCTTCGCTGGATCACTGTCGGGTCGGCCGCACAACACATACCGTCCGCTGTGCTGCGTCCGCCCTGAGCAACCCGCTTCTCTCATTCTCCACAATGTCAACGCAGAGCATACCAGAGCCACGCGCCGCCGCGCAGCCGATGAGAGCCAGGGATGTCACGAAACAGCTGAGACAAATATTCTGACGTCATGTTTAGACCCTTAGGCAGCAGCTTTCGCAGAAGGCTACCTAAAAGTTTGTCTGGTGCCATCCTGCCTCGTCCGATAGCAACATTCTCCGCCCAGTCTCGTCTGATTTCGTCCGGTTCCGTCCGGTTTTGTCCGGGTTGGCCACGCTCAAACTCATCCCGTTCCTTTCGACCACGCCCGGTGGCGTACATAGCTCCCGCGTTCAGAAAATTCGAGAAGAACGTGAGACTGCCATGGTACTGTCCACCAAAACGTAGGAGCCTCAGTGGAAAATACCAAATTCAAGAAACGAAAGCAATTTCGCTCGTGCATGTCAAAAGCCTGTGACGATATCGTACATCATACGGTGACCACCAAGCAGGACATGCGAGGCATCACATCACTCGCCATGAACACGCACAAAACAAATCCTAGCCATGTTATGGGGCGCCTCAGACACACCAACTTAAGCCAGAAACAGAACAAGAACAGCAAACAAAGCCGAGTTTTCATCAAGCCAGACTGCCTCAAACGTAAGTCATCACTGACGTGGTGATAACTTATGACTAAGTGATCACGTGGCCCAAGAGACTCACCTCTTTCTTCACTTCCTCCACTTTTTCATTATGCTTATTGAAGATGTGTTTGCGCACGAAGTCGGGACCCTTAAACTTCTTGTTACTGAGCGGGCAGAGCCACTTGTCCTTGGCCAGCTCCTGAGTGTTGGCCTGCACGAACTTCTCGACCTCATCCTCAGGATCCTTCAGAACTGTCGCCGGCAACACAGATCCCCATTAGTGACGCATCTGTGCCGGGTCGGCCGGTCGGCGGGAGGAGGGGGCGGCTGGATCTCGTGCCCCTTCCCTCCCACACACGTGATGCACGCGGTCTCCTGCCGTGCCCCGGACTTTCCGAGACGCACGCGCCCGCCGATGACAGCAGCGTGCCGCGCGGTACTGACAGCGGGGACAGCGGCGGAGCGGGGCCCAGGCGACACTGACACCGACACCCACGCGACACCGACACCGACACGCACACCGGTCGCGCCGACTCACTCAGGCCGTTCTTCCGGCACTCGTCGTCGACCCAGCGCGTCAGCGGCAGCAGGAACGAGCCGATCTTGTTCTCAAACGACGAGATGTAATCCTGCACCTCGGTGCTGGTCACCTGCCGCAGACGAGGGCCGGCTCAGCGCGCCGCCGGCCACGTGTGGGCAGCGGCAGCCGCACCGTCAGCCCCCCCCCCCCCCCCCGATATCACAGTCAAACCTCGACAGCGAAGAGCCGGAGGCAGACGACAGACACACTCAACGCGGCGTCTGCATCACCGCACAGGGGCTAAAGCATCCGGGAATATGTCCCAAACAGGACACGCCGATCACGAACATCGTGACGAACAATCACGCTAAGCGTAGAGGATAATACGGGTTTCGTTAGACCGACCACGTCGTTATTCATACAGTAGAGACCAGCACCTGCATACCAGATTTGAACGGAACCAACCAGATTCGACCCTAAAATATGACGGATTTTCGTGGGAGCGGCGTGGAATCGCTTCCCTTCCAATATTCTTGGTAGTTGCGTGAGCCCGCCAAGACTTCCGCGAATCAATTTAAAAGGAAGCACACGAAACTGCATGCATTTATAGCTTGTCACTTGATATTCGTAAGCAGTAGATCACATTCAGATGCAAAGGTGTCGTCAAAACACGTGTCTTATTTGGGGTCTCTGAAGGCCATAGGGTGATATCGCCTAAACCACTATGGCTGGTTTAGACCCGATTGCGGAAATAAACAATATTTTCCGAAGCAAGAAATGGAACAGACGTAAAATTGCAGTGAGCCATCAGGATCAGGGTCGGAATCGACTCCAAACGACGTGGGTTCAGACTTTGAATAAATTCCACAGAATCGGAATCACGAAAGGGTCTAAGTCACAAGGCGCATGGCTGAGCGCGAGAGCCAGTTGCAGACGGTCTACGCTGAAGCCGCGTGCTTAGTCGGCTGGTGGTTTCGGATGAGAGGCCCAAGTAACATTAACCCTCTCCACATTAACGAGGCTGTTCACGCCGCTGTCCTCAAGTCATAATTACCAGCCCCGGCTTTTCACCTCTCCACTCCGGCGGCAAATATTGTAACAGACGTTACTGTCTCGGCCGATAGATGGCAGGACAAACATTTCTCGTGCATAGCACGGCCGTATTTAAATATGGTTGAAAAAGTGTGTCTGAAATAAGAAACTGTTGCGAGTCGGCTGCCGATTGTTTATCAGTGAGGGGATGTCAAGAACCAATGAGCTCGACCTACTCCTAACATCATGTTATCTGTTATGGATGCCGGTAGATAACTCGTCGATGCTCTGCATAATTACCTGGGGCTCCGTCGCTTTCATGCTTCCGATTTGTAAGCAGTGAGCTAAGTTCAACAAATAATCTATGCGGTCCATATGAAGTACTTAAGAAATGGAAGTCCGTTCGACATCGGCAACCTAGCGTCAAACCTGGCAGCTGACGTGCACCCAGAAGTGATGCGTTTATCAAGCAGCATATCCCGATTAACGAGACTTTCGAAACCATGCAATGGCACGACTGCAAAAATGGCAAGAAACGGGGGGCCAATGTGCTATTGCCCAGGAAATAAAGCACTTAAATCTGAACACGTTAAAATGAAATGATTGCCAGCATTAAACGTTGCAAACTAGGAGGAAAGGAACATGTCACGAAACTCGTATTTATACCGGCAACGGCCCCCAACTGCCCGTGTTGTATGAAAGGAGAGCTAGTTAGCACTCCCCTAGACAAGGACGGATTACAAACACACATGGATAAGGCACATTATCCATCGTTTTTTTCTTCGGTGGATACAATACTCGGAAATAAGGCTGGACAAGGTGACGCTATTCTATTGCGGCCACATAGATCTGGCGCACCACGTTGCGTTCGACATGCTGAATCGTGAATTGGCTCACGAACCAATCGTTATGCGGCGAGCCGGCTCGAAGGAAACATGCCGCTTAGATCCATGCGCACATTTTTCGTAAATTTCATGGGCCGAATCGCGAGCCGGCAATTTGGAACAATCTTTTGTCAGTGAAACATATCGCTCAAATCAAACTGGTAACATCAGAAAACACAGCACGCCACAGACAACTCAACCAGAACATTTCATGGCATTTAACTGAATAGCGTGCAGCGTTAGTTATAAAGCTTTTGCCAAAGCAGCGCAAAATTTGATATTGTGATTTCCTAACAGTAAGCACATCATTGGTCCCGATCTAAAGTTTACCAATTCTCAACCAGGGACCAGAGGACATTGCATGGTACATTCTCTCAATGCCTGATCTGCCTGATCAATTGCCTGATTAGGAAGTGTCAAAGTAACAGTCGCCTGCCTCAAACTGTCAACAATCGCCCAGCGGGGCAGGCGGACCTTACTTGCCTATGTACTTCTTGCTTAAGGTGCGTTTATCGGTCTGCGTGTCCGTCCGTGGGCCCCGTTTTTGCGTTGCGTCGTCCACAGGTCGAACGGCGGGTCACTGAACGGTGAAACTTGGACACGACGCGCACGTGCCCGAGGCGGTTTTCCCCCAGCGAGATCGTAAGCCGCTGCGGTCCGCAGTTTGCGCGTGGTACGTGACGGAGTGACCGTTTCAGGCCCGTTGGTTTTGCACGGGCGGCCCGAAAACGCGACCGAAAATAGCGCCGAGCAGCCGTTCAAAACCGTGGCCACATCCCAGCAACCACCGGCCGGAGCGACCCACTGACATGCTCAGATAGATAATTGGACGGGGCACCGCGCGGTCCCAGACGTACGGTCGCCCGTGCCGCGTGTCTCCTGCGCAGAAGCAGCCAAGATGGACTTGGTCCGTTTTCACGTTCTTTCTTCTTCACGTTTTATACCATATATCGGCAGCTAGAGAGGGTCGAGGCGCGAACCTTATTTCAAAACGCCGACCCACGCATCAGCAATTCATAGAGCCCACACGAGATTGTGCAACGCACGGTTGGGCCAGTAATCGGTGGGCAAGCCGGGAATGTCGGCATTTCGAAAACCTGTGCCGAGTACAACACCCTGTTAAAACTGTAACCATGGTTGTGGATAAATTTACGTCATCGCGCGCACGAAGTCACTGCCCGTATTTACCACCCATTGATTTATAGCCATGTTCACTGTCCCGACAAAACATCAATGTTACATAAACGGTTGCAACGCCTTATTTTCGCGTCGGTTGATCGGTTGATCGGTCAGTTGACCAGTTGATCGCCCAGTCGCCGATGGTCAGTGTTCTAAATGAAACGACGAAACGCGCATGCGCTGTATGTTGCCCGCGTCCGGCAGCCGTCATCCACTTACGCATTCATCCATTCGTTGTGGCGCGAAAGGTGAGCCATGGTGACAATGGAATGCGTTACCCGAACTCCTTGCTTTGAGAAAATGTCAGAGACACCACACACATCAAGTGAAGAATAACTTGCAACGGGTGCGGTAGAAGGACCCCTAAATGCAGTAAAATCTCAGCGAAGCTCGCTGGTATGGTAAAACAACACTATCAGTGGCTTAGCAGAGTTTGTTTTGGAATCACAAAAGTGTCTGGCAACACAGAAACATTGCAACAGAATTGACAAATGCCCGGGACAAAGTCCGGGAGGCCTGGCATTTGGAGTGGTAGCAGGCGGGGTTTTCGTGAACTTTTCATATGCATAATAACGCCTCATCCGCAGTGGAAATCTAGAGAGCCAAATTGGAACGTCCCAGGCAGCCAGCACATCACACCCAGCCCCCGTGAGGCATCCCGGCAGCCAGAGTTCGGGTCGGCTAGGGAATCCCATATATGGTGTTGAATGCATCTAATCCGAACACAAATCGCCCATAGACAATGCACCGCTTGGCAAAACAGCCGCGCAAGCCGCTGTGCTAATCTATTTGTATTTTATCGCGGGCTCTCATGTCATTTGAAGAGCACTGCAACATGTATGACGTATGCATGTTGTTTGAATACAACACCCGTCGCGTGATTTTGCATTTTTCAAGCTGTCCTGTTTGCGGTACATAACCTCGTGTTGCGTTGTGCTAACCATGACCAATCAGTTACTTGCTCTGAACGATGTAAGTGATGCAACATAGCGAGGTGTGTTGAATGAAGCCTTGTTCAATTTTGAAAGAATGTGTCCTGATGATGTGTTCCGTTCTGACGACCAATATTTTTAAGTCTATATAAACTAAGATGTCTGTGCCGGCGACCAATATTGTTACGTCTATGCAAACTAAGATGTATATATATATATATATATATATATGTATGTAAGATGTATATATATATAACCATAACTAAAAGTGTACATACACATATACACAACAATGTGTAAATATAGTCTACGGACGGGTCGTTTCAATTCTATTCGAGCCTGCATCAGTCTGGACAAACAGTTCTTTCCACTTCCTACATTAACTATTAATCGACACATGTGCATTGGATGTGGGGCCGTCCTGCTTCGAACACGTTTTTAACACATTTTTACGGCACGTTTTGTTGTTTTTCTCGTAAAGCCCGCCTGGGAGGTTGCGCTGTTTCCAGCATATCAATCAACCTTGTCTCTCTGAGCCTCCCATATACTACATAGTTGATGCACGCTCTCTCCAAGTCAACACATTTCACATCGTTCATCAAGCGGCCCAGCGCATTCGGGTGGATGAACACGGAATATTTCACTGATGCATTTTCTTTCCCGATGTTTTCATAAATGGTTGGTCGAACGAGTATATAAAGTACCCTGTCTCCCCAGCCCCAAACACTCCCACACATTACAACAAATATCGAACATCACGCTGCTTGTGCTATATCCAATCGTTCGTTCATACGTATGCATTTAAGGTCCCTTTATTGGAGCATGCCCCTGCTAAATGCGTTGACTGAATAACTGCATGACTGAACCACACACAAAAAAACCCTCTGAAAATAGATCCCCGGCATTACGCCATGAACGAACAGCTATCGTGAGGCGGGCAGGCACACCGAGGAAAGTACTCCCCACAAGCTGCAGCGCCGGTCTGACGCACAGCGATCGTTCGTCAGCCAGCCCACTGGCTGATGTTGTGACCAGCGAGACAGCCGGGTCGGGCCACGGGCGAGCAATCCCGATGACCTGCACACAGCATAAGCCACCTCGCTGACATGGACCGCGACATCGTGTGGGAGTCAGCAGAGCTGAGCACCTTTCCAACACGACGGATGAGAAGACGCGCCGACGCGGCAGCACCGCTCAGTCGGATGTCTGGAGCCGGCAGCGCGGGACGGTAAATACGGCCAACACAGCGAGACGCGCAGCGCAATATTCCAGGCAATCGGATCCGGTGAATAACATTCTCTCAGCAGAAAATAAACCTCGGCTGCGTGTGCAGGTGGCATGAAGCATCGAGTACCCGGGTCGTTCACAAGCAATCGCTACCTAACGCCGGCACCACGTCCTTTGCAGCCATCGGCGTACACCACCAGGCAGTGCTGGCACGATCTGATGTACCGCGACGCTGGCGGCGGGAAATCGCCTGCATGCGGAGATCTGAGGTGGCTTCCTTCACGCCGCGAACATCGATATCACGCGACGGTTCGCGCTCCTACGCCACACTATGGGGCGGCCGGTGCGTATCCGACGACGCAGTCCCACCGAGCCCTCTTTCCAGAGTGCTCGAAGCCTCGAGGACGACAGGCCGGCGCCCCCCCCCCCCCCCCCCCGACTGACCGTTCCACACAACGTCAACGTCGATGAGTTGCATCGCTTGAGAAGTTCAGGCACTGCAATGGAAAACCCGCACGAGTGCAACATGTATGACCCAAGTCGATCCCGACTGCATCGTGAAACGTGCCGCTCTTGGCCGTGGTTAAGACGTCACATTCCAACGCCATGCCGTGCGAGTTATCCTACCGTGCAGCCGTCACAAGCGAAGGCAGTTCAGACATCGCGCGCGCGGATTATTGCACCATTGCCAATTTCAGATAGCCTATGCATACTAAGAACTAATTAGCCGGCGGCAGACACACCCCTGGTCTGCGGCAGTTTTTGAGCGAGCGGCGAGGTTGGCGCCATCATGCCGCGGCAGATGCAACGGTGGCTGCATCGCCTGTCGGCAGCCTTTCGCCGGAGAATCCAACTCATTTCAACGCAGCATGTGCATTCCCAGCCTATTTCGCCCCAGCTGTCAACAGTCACTGCGAGGCGTCCGCCAAAACATCATTTCCACGGCCCTCCGGAGCCCGTCTCAACGGCATTCGAATTTCATTGACGATAAAAATCGGCGCGCAGAAGAGTCGGCCAACACGATCAAAGGAGGGCGTTTCAATCACCTGCACTGCTCCCGGCACCCCAGACCGAGGCGGTGGCAGCGGCCGTGGAGCGCGGGTAAGTGTGTATGGGTGTGTGTGTGGGGGGGGGGGGGGGCAGAAGTGAACAAGGGGAGAGAGTAGTCACAGAGTGCCAATCGCTGCACCCCTCCGCTAGCAAAGGCAGACGCGTGTCCATACATGCCTTCAATAACGGAACCGCACCCTCCCCAACGAAAGTGAACATCTCGCTTCTTCTCAGCAGCCGACCGGAGGTCGTTGCTCCACTCAGTGCACCCGCTTGGCCCAATGGCTCCGCCTGCGGGCTTGCTGACACGTTCCACGGTACTCAGCACTCTTGCCACACATTCGCAGACGATAATGCTGCAGGACGGGCGACAGAGGCATGATAGATGACAGGTGATACGGGCCAGATGGCCGCGATATGTCTGTGTCCGATGTCGGGGTGCCCGGGGTGGCGCTGCAGCACATGGCGTGCCCAGCCGTGTAGCCAGCGGCGTCGCACCAGCCCGTGCCTGCTGGCAGTGGGGATCACGAGGGTCGCATACCTTCACCAGAAGCGACCATAACTCTGGCTCGCAGCGTTCGAATACCGCGCATTTTTGGGCACTGGCGCCGTCCATACACCCAGCGAGCGCGCCAGATCAACAAGGCTGATCAAGTCGACAGCTGTGAATTTCCATTCCCAATACCGCACTAAAATATTCCAGCGTCACAAGCGCGAATAGTTGTCTTGTGTTGAGCACATACGTATGCTTAAAATTTGAAACACGTGTCAAATGATGTCACGAATAGTATGACGTTCCAACCTATTTTAAGGAGTAAGGTACATCCAAACTTAGATATTCCAGCATTTCAGTTCTTTTCATCTTCCAATCATTGCAAGCATTGTCTTCAAAGACTGTTCGCAATAATCCTACCACCCAAAGGCAAAAAGGCCTGAGTGCTAATGGGTAAACGGCACTTGGCCTTTTGCCTTCGAAGGGCAGAGTGTTGAATACTGGCAATCCTGTCACATAAATACATGCACCAAGACCTTCGGGGATGAAGTGTGAAAACATTTGCACGTGGGGCGAGAAATTCGAAAAATGTAAACGAAAAAGTTGTGCTCAATATCACGTGTCAATTATCTATTAATCTACAACAGGCTATCCTACGATGCCATTTGTGGCATTCAGATCATCAAACAGATATCTGACGAAGACTTTCGCACATCTGAAGCTTCGTTCAAAACATTGCGCGTTTGCAAACAGTCTCCTTCAAACGACGTGCGATACTACAAAAAAAAAGCTATCGAGAGCTCAGCAATACCAGAAAGCAGCTGTTGGTGGGACCGTAATGACAATGAATAACACTCACTGGTGTTTAACTCATTTCAAAAACCCAAAACAGCGCACTTGACGCGCCTTGCATAAGGCGCGCCGCCACGACGTCTGGGACTGGGGTTCGGCCCATGCCGCTCATCGGCTCACCTTGGAGCTGGGGGGCATGCCGCGGGCGTGGATGATGCCGCAGCGGTTCGGCATCTCGTCCTCGTTGGGGTACTCCGAGTGGTTGTAGTAGTCGACTGAATGAACCACGCGCAGATAGAGCAGCAGACGGTCCAAGACCTGGCAATGCAAGTCACAGTCATGAAATCGGACGAAAGAGTCGCGGGAATAAAGGGATCTTTAATAAAGGGATGTTGCCTGTCTCCTCCGCCAGGCGCGGCGGAGGGGACTGGCAACAATGATCCTGTCAACCAGCACGGCGCTGACAGCACGGTAGGCGAGGACTTACGGCAGAATGGGAGACTCCATAGGCGAGGACTGACGAGAAGATGGGAGACTCGATAGACGAGGACTGATGAAAGGATGGGACACTCGATAGGCGAGAACTGATGACGGGATGGGAGACGCGACAGGATGGGAGACACGACAGGATGGGGGACACGATAGGCGAGGACTAACGACAGGATATGAGACTCAATAGGGGAGAACTGCCGACAGGATGGGAGACTCGGTAGGTCAGGACTGATGACAGGATGGGAGACTCGTGTGTTAATGGGGCTTTACGACGCACTCAGCTGCTGAGCCTATATGGCGTCGCCTGCCTCTCACCCTGGCAGGAAGGGCGGGCACCGCGGGGAATCGAACCCCGTACGTTTGGTTTCCCAGACGCGCAGTGGTTAACGCAGATGCGTTAGCCGCTACACTACCGGCACCCGGATGGGAGACTCGATCGGTCAGGACTGACGACAGGATGGGACACTCGATAGACGAGGACTGATGAAAGGATGGGAGACGCGACAGGATGGGAGACACGACAGGATGGGAGACACGATAGGATGGGAGACACGATAGGCGAGGACTGACAACAGGATAGGGGACTCAATAGGGGAGAACTGACGACAGGGTGGGAGACGCGGTAGGCCAGGACTGATGCCAGGATGGGAGGCTCGATAGGCCAGGACTGATGACAGGATGGCAGACTCGATAGGCCAGGAGTGATGACAGGATGGGAGACTCGATAGGCGGGGACTGCTGCCGGGATACGAGTGTAAGCCGTTTACAAGTACACATCAGTCACATCGTGTGTGGCTTATGCAATCAGGGACCTTATAAGAGAATTGTCTCGCATGATTCGCATTGACCAGCTATGCCACTGATGCATTTTCATGGCACCCTCGAGGGGATATCATAAATTCGTCCGCTTTCGACGCGATAACCACAGATCCGGGCAGCCACAGGCCAGTGGTTGAGTCCCTGCGTGAAAGACCGGGCATGTAAGACCGAAACGCGGCCGATCCGCACAACGATAGGTGGTCCACTCGCCGCAGCCGCCGGCCGCCGTGTCCACGGCTTTACGCCCGACAAACAGGTCCATACGGCCAGAGGCGAGCAGCGGCGCCTGGTAGGTGGGCAGCTCGCTGTCAACAGCAGACGGCGCCGGCCGGCCGGCCCGTCAGCGTCAGACGGCGTGCGGGGGACGGCAGCCGGGTGGCCGGCGGACCGGCACCAGCCGCCGCTCACCTTGATCAGCTCGTCGTCACGCTCGATCGTGTCGGGCCCGGCCGGACCGGCCTCCTCCTGACTGGAAGCGCTGACGCCCAGCAGCTCCTCCTCTTCGGCCGACGCCTCCTCGATCAGGTAGTCGGTGATGTTGCGCAGGATAGGGTTCTTGCTGGACACGCCGTACGACGGCTGCCGCAGAAGGCGCGCCGTCGCATCACAGGCACACCTCAGCGCGTCGCGCGACCACGCACGCACCCACAACACCCACACCTCGCATGACCACCCTCCAGAATATGGTTGCATGGTGGCGCTCACACGCGGAGGCTGAATCCGCAGCCTGTCCGACCAACACGGTGACCAGACCTACCCGGTGACAGCCAGGCCGGGGGGCTGTCTGCCACGCATACAAGCCATCATTTTCAACACCCAAAGATCGGTGCAGAGCGCGAGCACGCTGGGGCTCGCGAGCCGGTGCTAGCGACAGGCGCCCCAGCCACCGGCCAGACGCTGGCGGAGCGCGGCGCATCCGCCGCTGCTGGCGCCACCACCGTCCCACCGCAGGCTGCCCGCCTCTCTAGCGTGCGCGTCCGCCCGAATAACTTCATCAGCGGCCGGACGCCGAGATTAATGACCGGGCGGACCTCGCGAATTCATCTGCACCGGGGAGAAGCGGCGCTGTTTAGCCGCGATCGGACGCAGACCATTCATCAGCGGCGAACAGCCGGCGACGGCCGTCTCACCGGCGGCGCTGCGGTACGCCCCCGCCGGCGCCGGCTCCGGCTGCGGCACGCCCCCGCTGGCTCCGGCTCCGGCTGCGGCATGCCCCCGCCAGCTCCGGCTCCGGCTGCGGCTCGCCCCCGCCCGTTCCGGCTCCGGCTGCCGAGCGCCAGCGCACTGGCGGGCGTACAGCTGACGCCGGCGGCCGACCACCGGCCTGCTCCAGGCTGGGCCGACACGCCGGCCGCAACCAGTGCCGCGGCGCCGCAACCGTCGTCACACCCTGCAGACCCGGCTCCGACGGCCGGCCGGCGTCTGCACCGCGCGCGGCCGCCACCGGTGCTCACCTGTTTGTCCTTTTCTTCGGTGTCCGGGTCAGGCCAGAGCTGGTAGCGCGAGTCCAGGTTCTGGATGATGCGCGCCGATAGCTTGATGTCGGCGCGCACCACCTGCTTGTGGGACGTGACGCCGCTGACCGTGCGCACGCGTCGCGACAGGTCCCGGTTCACGATGGCCCCCAGCTCACAGTCCCGCAGCTGGTGGAGGGCGGCGTCAGGTCAGCACACCCACATGGACCAGGTCAGCAAACGGACACGGGTCAGGTCACCACACCCACACGGGCCAGGTCAGCACATAGACACGGGTCAGGTCACCACACCCACACGGGCCAAGTCACCGAACCCACACGGGCCAGGTCACCACACCCACAGGGCCAGTCAGCACACCCACACGGACCAGGTCAGCACACCACACGGGCCAGGTCAGCACACCCACGGGCCAGGTCAGCACACCACACGGACCAGGTCAGCACACCCACATGGGCCAGGTCAGCACACCACATGGGCCAGGTCAGCACACCACACGGACCAGGTCAGCACACCACACGGACCAGGTCAGCACACCACACGGGCCAGGTCACCACACCCACAGGGACCAGGTCAGCACACCACACGGACCAGGTCAGCACACCCACACGGACCAGGTCAGCACACCACACGGGTCAGGTCACCACACCCAGACGGGACAGATCTCCAAACAGATCGGTCACCACGGGTCAGGCCATCACAGACGTGCCAGGTCACCACACAGACCAGGGTCAGATTACGACACAAACGGACAAGTTCGCCACAGGACGGCCAACTCCCGGTCAGGCAGCTGACGGAGCGAGGTCAATTCACCGCATACGAAAGGCCGCGCTGCATTAGGCGTGATTGTCCCGGAACTCCCGGAGGTGGTTGGAGCGTTCTGGGGCACTCTGTGGCACCTACGTAGTTATCAGAAGCCACGTCCGATACAAAGGTGACCTAGCAGAGCACGGCAGTGTGTCTGTTATTGACCTTTCGGTCCTCTTGCTCTCTGCTACCATCCCGTTGCCATTTTACCACTTAGCTGGGCGCTACAGTCGCGTTCGGCAGTTCAATACATCGCTGACGACGATAAAGTGCTACAGGTAGGTTACCTGCGGCGCTTATCTTAAACAGTCGCTTCATCTACCTGGTCCGGCGGCGGTGTACAATTTTTGAGCGGTTAGATAACAACACCCACGTCGGTGTTGCAGCGTCGGTATCCGATCCCATTACAGGCCAGTGAGAGCATTCGGCCGTGTTCTCAGTTTGTTTTCCGGAACTCAACGGAATATCACTGATACCTGATCCCTGAGGCCGATTGCATAAACGAACTGAAACGAGTCAAGTATATAGTAAAAATACAACACCTTAGCAATTTGTCTGCGATAGCAATCGGGCTTGAACCAACCAAAAAACATCACCGCAATATCTTTAGCCATCGGTGACCCACTTTTAAAAGATAAAGATATCCGCGGCATAACAAGCTATGTTCTACTGGCAACAAAACAATGCCCGCTGGCATATCTTTAAATTGAAAATATTAAATCCGTGGCGTGGCACTGTACTGTAGCAACACATGGCCATACACTGTATTTGCGTTGCGCGCAAATGTACAGTTGCATTGTATGCACACGTATACTTGCGTTGCATTCACATGCAGCGTTCGGAGTGTCCTCAATGCAGGCTATTATACAGCTGTGAAGCTGCTTGGCTACCGCACACTGCCTCATGGGTTCCTTTCCGGCAATAAGTGTCTCATGTACATTGCACAATGACACTAACCTAAAATCGTCGCTCGACAGGAGTTCCATGTTATGCATTCGTTTAATGGAAATGGAAAAAGTGAGAGTTGCATTATCATTCTGCGGAACTTATGCCGGAACTTATGTCGGAACTTATGTCCGACTGAGTCGAAAAAAGTTTTCTCGCTATGTGTTTGTGGTCACGAGCGATCATCAGCACAGCTTGACACGTCAAGTCCTGTCAATATAACCCATGCTTATTTCATGACGTTGTTTAACCAGTACCTCCTGACAAATTGAATGTCAATTGTCAGAATAAGAACTCCAAAATAACAACGCAGACAAGCAGGAACTCAAGGCCATACCAGCTTACATCCAGGTCAGCACCGACCAATGCAAAATCATCGGAACGGATGGCCATGTGCCAAACAGATCACACACCCCACATTTTAACGCCACTTTCGAAGTGCTCCAGCTGAGATTGCACGAATGGTGGCTCACAAAATTGACAGCGTAAGTATTTGGTGTGCTTCTGCCGGTGAAATTGCATCCGCCCTGTCACAGAACCACTGAGCGCTGCCAGTGACCGCGCGCAGGGACCACTGGTAGCACATAACCTTCCATAACCGGCGCCAAACTCCAGAGGCGCGGAGCCATCAGTGTCCCGCTTTTCACCCTGTCACCGCCCGACCTGCAGCATCGGCCGGAAGGCACCCGCTGAGAAGCAGCCGAGCCCCTCACACTCGACCTGCAGCAGCGGCCGGAAGGCACCCGCTGAGTGGAGGCCGAGCCCCTCACACTCGACCTGCAGCAGCGGCCGGAAGGCAACCGCTGAGAACCCGCTGAGCGGAGGCCGAGCCCCCTCACACTCGACCTGCAGCAGCGGCCGGAAGGCACCCGCTGAGCACCCGCTGAGCGGAGGCCGAGTCCCTAACACTCGACCTGCAGCAGCGGCCGGAAGGCACCCGCTGAGAACCCGCTGAGCGGAGGCCGAGCCCCTCACACTCGACCTGCAGCAGCGGCCGGAAGGAACCCGCTGAGCACCCGCTGAGCGGAGGCCGAGCCCCTCACACCCGACCTGCAGCAGCGGCCGGAAGGAACCCGCTGAGCACCCGCTGAGCGGAGGCCGAGCCCCTCACACCCGACCTGCAGCAGCGGCCGGAAGGCACCCGCTGGGCGGCAGCCGAGCCACTAACTCACCCGGATGTTGTTCAGGTTCCAGCAGATCTCCTTTATGTTGACCTGCCGCTCGAACGTGACCCAGCCGCGCCGGAACCAGCGCCGCTCCGGCTGCGGGTCGGCGATGGCCGCGCGCAGGAAGCCCGGGTACCGACGACACATCTGCAACCATGGCAACACAGATCAACATCGCAAAGCCCGCGAACCAACCATACGTCTGGAATAATGGCAACGCTGGAGAAACAAAAGGACCCTTGGGTACCGTCGACGCATATGTTAGCATGCCAATGAAGAGAGGTCGCAGGAAATCCAAGCACAGCTGGTAGTTACACCCGTATCTGTGACACTCCATAAATAACGGAAACCCATGCACACACGTCAACAGTTAACGTGAAAACGTACCAAATGCAGTCAACGAAAACACGAAAAGCTCAGCATAGTAACGTCACAAACAAACTGTACGCACAAAAGGCTTTGAACGCGCCGTGGGAAATCTCAGTAACCAAGACGCATGGGCCAACATGACAACGGTACACATACCATGGCGCACGGGGGTAAAAGGCGCGCAGACACGACACAATTACTGTCATCTTCAGTGGACGGCCACGACCGTCGCCGGAAACGTCGAGGTTCAGCGTACAAACGTGGGGAAGAATGAACATAAATGCGACCGTAGGGAAATGAGACGACCAGTGGGAAGGGCGGCAGGGCCACCGGCAGCCGAGGACGGGCTGTGCCGAGGGACGGCTCGCGCCCGCGGACCACTCTACAAACGTTCACCCGCTCCAACACCCGGCGCGAAGAAACACGTGAAAAAAGACGCTGTTAACGGTGAATCAAAATCACGCAACATGCTCAGGTGTGGAATACAACCACAGGGCTCATAAAGAGAACTCGAGCGAGCATATGCAAAATGTAAGCTGGCAATATACTACTGATCTACACGCAGGAGATATACCATACCCTCGGGCAGGTAATCAGTAAAATACCAATGGCCCGAGCTGTGTCACAGTACAATATTGCTGCGCGTGATTCAGGTTTGCTCCACTTGCGTTAATCCCTTGTGATGGGACGGGGCACTTCTGCGATGAGAGCTGTCTTTTCATAGGGTCTTAATCTAAAACACTCGAATGAATTCAATGACCTCTGCACCACAGAACAGACGGGTTTTGGGCAGATTTGATGTACGGCTGCAGTAAAAGTGATGCATGCGTGCTATCTGCCGACCGTCCACACTGATGAACTCATGTCAAATGCCACCATTTGCTTACAACCTGCCGCAAAACTTCATCCAGCCTAGAGCATGTCATCGCGCTTATTTACGAAGTCATGGTACTTTGGGCTAGTATTCAGTATTGTTTTGCGTAATTCCACACACCTCACTAGACGCATCATCTACCGCCCGCCAGTTATGGGGAGACGAAACACCCTCGGTTGTTTTCCAGAGGTATCTATATTCCAGACTGTTTGGGTTATCACAATAGAATTTAGAAGTGTAGCGTTAAACCCATACCGCTGACCTGGAAATTGGGATGCCATGCTATTTCAGCCACGACGTAATATCGCTAAATGGTGGCAGAAATGGCACAGCATTCGGTCTCGCCCTCAACGCTCAGCACGGATTATTGAAAAATCAACGCTTACGTGGCAATCAGTTCGACCCTCAGACGTTGCATAAAGATTCCGATAATGTGAAGCGATTACATGATAAGCGTCATCAGCTCACAACTTTCATTTCAATGGAAGCCAAGGCCACATCGGTTCAACTCTTAACATTACGTCAGATCTGGTTTCAAACATGTCATATATTATGGACCAGAGTAGATGATATAACTGACCCACCTGTCATCTCAGTATGCAAACCACCCCGATGAGGCCCATAGCACGGATACCTTCCAAATGCGCTAGAGGCTAAATACGCCGTAATGGGGAACACCTGGACGTCCAATGCTGTCGGGCTTACTTCCGGAGGTGCGAGCTCGGCGGCTCGAGTTCAGACACTTCCGGCAAGCCCCGGCAAAAAATACCCCAGCAATGGTAAGCGTATTCAAAAGAAGGCTTTAGGATCACATCAAGTTGTGAATACTGAGCCTCGCATTCAACGGAAAACAAGACACAACACTTTTGCAGAAAAGACGACCCACGTGCCAAGCTGTCGTAAGCATCTGAACAGGCATCAAATGTGACAGTCCGTGGGCGAATGTTACAGCGCGCTGAAATATTCTCAAGTATAACGAGAGCGAGATTTAGCGAATTTCTTTCCTACAGAGGCCATTCTAACCTTATGTTTATTAGCGTCTTTCCTGAGCAGCGCAGCGCTTCTCTACACTGCCGCTGTCGTCAATCGCACAGGAAATGAAATGTATCCGCAAGAAACTGGATAAAATGTCGGCAAAGAACATACATTGGTACGCGGAATATATCCACGTAATTCGGATGGCAGTTTTTCGACAGGCTCCGGGAATGCCGGTCCCTGTGACGATGTTCCCATTCAGCGTGAAGTGAAGTCCACTGACGACCGCAGTAAATTAAACGTCCCCCGCAGGCCCTGGCATTGGGTAGCACCTATCTGTTACGACTGCTGCGGTTTGGGGAGAGAACTGCAGCGGCAATATCCGGCCAGCAAGAAGGCACCGGAGGCCGACGGTTCGCAGGGCTCGCAAGGCGACGGCCCAGCGAGCACAGAGCACGGTGTGCCCGTCACAGACCGACCGGGCCCGCTGGGGCCGGTCAGGCACCGCCCGCTTCTGCTCAGACTGGAGCAACGGCCATAACCCGACTGCCGCCACGAGCGGTGGACCGCTCGGCGCGGCACACGAACGCAAACAAGCTGCACCCGTCTAATTCCAAGCGCTATGGACCGCTGTAGATATGGACCTTGACCTTGGATTTGTTGAGGAAAACATAAGTAAGGAAGAGGACTACACCACATGTGGGCACCGGAGAGAGGTGGCTGTTCAATGAAGGCACGGCATAAACACAGCGCTGAACAGTGCCGCCTGATGTACACCTGTGCGGTACCGGCGGGGTTATCGGCGCGTGCCGGCGCCAGACAGCGCCCGTCCTTGCGGCCGGCCCAGCCCAGGTCAGCCCTCTCCCCTCCCCGCTCCACTCACCGCCTCCACCTCTTGTTTGGTGATGGTAGGTGCCAGGTTGCGCAGGAAGATGGAGGTGGTCTTGTGCAGCGGACGTGGCCGCGGCTCCTCCTTGACCTTGTCCTTGGCGTTATCATCGGTCGGCTTTTCGCCGTCTTCCTCGCGGCGCGCCTTCTCGGCCCCGTCGGCAGCGGGCGCCGGCTCCGCGGCGGTCGGTTCAGCGTCAAGCTTCGGTTTTGCCTCCGACCCCGGCTCCGCCCCCGTCTCCGTCCCCGGCACTGGCAAAGGCTCCGGCTCCGCCTCCGGCTCAGACCCCGGGTCAGGCTCCGGCACCGGCTCCCGCTCCGGTTCCGGATCGGCCTCAGCCGCCGGCTCGGCCTTGGCGCCGTTCTCAGCGCCCGGCGGCGCTGGCTCGCTCGGCTCGTCCGGCTCGTCGCTGTCGGACGAGCCGGAGCTAGAGCTGCTGCCGCTGTTGTACTCGTACTTGCGCTTTTTAGTCTCCTCTGAAAGATAAAGAAAAGGTCAGCCCGGAAGAACGCAAATGATCACTGCTTTGTAACTCGCCAACGAGAAAAATAATCAGCCACTTGACCAATCCACATGAGGACCTGAATTGAAGCATGCATTTCGAAGCGAGACCGCCTTTGACATTAAGTAAGACTTAACAGCTTAAGAGAAACAAATCCAGCGTCATTCAAACATTGGCCATCGGACTGTTACGAATTTGCCCAATCAACCGGACTGGTTTATACATAATTGTATAATAGCGGCAAAATAGCGACTGCCTGGCGTTATCCTCCGAGTCGCTGGAGAAGCCACCTGTTGTTTAACACATTTCAAAGATTATGAGCAGCCGTGCCGACTTCTCCGTCATATGCTAACGCCACGCTTGGAGAATTGTAACTTGGACAGCAATAGGCGGATCGGTATGATGTACCCGCTGCTAGCACGCTTGGTGCCCTATACCTCGCCACGTCGCCTGGCCATCAGCGCCACTGTGGGACTACGCTGCCTGGCCATCAGTGCGAATGCGGGACCACGTTGCCTAGCCATCAGCAGGAATGCGAGACCACACCGCCTGGCCATCAGCGCGACCGCGGGACCACACCGCCTGGCCATCAGCACGACCGCGGGACCACACCGCCTCGCCATCAGCGCGAATGCGGGACCACGCCGCCTGGCCTCAGCGCGAATGCTGGACCACGCCGCCGCCTGGCCATCAGCGCGAATGCGGGACCACGTTGCCTAGCCATCAGCAGGAATGCGAGACCACACCGCCTCGCCATCAGCGCGAATGCGGGACCACGCCGCCTGGCCCTCAGCGCGAATGCTGGACCACGCCGCCGCCTGGCCATCAGCGCGGATGCTGGACCACGCCGCCGCCTGGCCATCAGCGTGAATGCGGGACCACGTTGCCTAGCCATCAGCAGGAATGCGAGATCACACCGCCTGATCATCAGCTTGGCTGCGCGACCACGCCGGTGGGCCGAAGCAGCACACGGGGGCAGCCGTCACTTCCAGATCCCAGTCACGCTCTCAGTGAGAATGTCAGCGAAACGCGAGGCCTACGTGAAACGACGCGCCGCGCGGCCGGTGCGTGGATTGAAATTCCGGTCTCAGTCTGCGCAGCACCGCATATACTGCGACACTGCTCACATGCCTGATGAGGCGGGGAATTGGAAGAGAACAATCAAGTTTGGCTGGATGGGTTCCGACGTCATTTTTCCGTAACAAAGCGTAATGTCCAGTTCAGGCAGTTTCTTAAATCCATTCGTGATATGACATCCTTACCGCCGTATGGTGGTCCCACCTTTCTGGCGCCGAGCGACGTCCGAAAAGAGCTGAAAGGCATACGCCCGCATAACTGAATGCATTAAAGCAAGAGGTGCAGTGATACGTGAAAATTTCGGAAGACTTATAGATGTGAGTGCGTTGTCTGTGACTGACCAAACTACAGTTAGAAAGGCCATATTTTGCGCGGATATCAGTCTGTGATCGAAGCTCTGAGCCGGTATAGTTTTCATGATCAAATCTATCGCCTTGAGCCACAGCAAATAACATTCGGGGCCGGTCTAACGGCTTAACGAGGGTGACATGAACTGTTTTCCAGCCGATTTCTAACATCGCACGGGTCGTACACTGGCGTCGCTCAACGGGTTGCGAACGATAAATCCCACGAGGCAACGGAGCTGGTCTCATCCATTTGAGAGCCCTGAGAGCCAGAGCCTTTGATCGCCCTCGCAGCTGAAATGGGGTACCGGTCCTAAAAAACCTCGCGACGGTCGGCGGATCCGCGGCTCTCCCTCCAGCGCGGCGGTCGGCGGATCCGCGGCTCTCCCTCCAGCGCGGCGGTCGGCGGATCCGCGGCTCTCCCTCCAGCGCGGCGGTCGGCGGATCCGCGGCTCTCCCTCAAGCGCGACGGTCGGCGGACCCGCGGCTCTCCCTGGAGCGGCGACAGCCAGCGGATCCGCGGCTCTCCCTCGAGCGCGACGGTTGGCGGATCCGCGGCTCTCCCTCGAGCGCGACGATCAGCGGACCCGCGGCTCTCCCTCGCGCGACGGTCGGTGGATCCGCGGCTCTCCCTCGCGCGACGGTCGGCGGATCCGCGGCTCTCCCTCCAGCGCGGCGGTCGGCGGATCCGCGGCTCTCCCTCCAGCGCGGCGGTCGGCGGATCCGCGGCTCTCCCTCAAGCGCGACGGTCGGCGGACCCGCGGCTCTCCCTGGAGCGGCGACAGCCAGCGGATCCGCGGCTCTCCCTCGAGCGCGACGGTCGGTGGATCCGCGGCTCTCCCTCGCGCGACGGTCGGTGGATCCGCGGCTCTCCCTCGAGCGCGACAGCCAGCGGTTCCGCGGCTCTCCTTCGAGCGTGGATCCGCGGCTCTCCCTCGAGCGCGACGGTCAGCGGATCCACGGTTCTCCCTCGAGCGCGACGATCGGCGGACCCGCGGCTCTCCCTCGTGCGCGACAGTCGACGGATCCGCGGCTCCCCTCGAACGTGACGGTCGGCAGACCGGCGGCTCTCACTCGAGCGCGACGGTCGGCGGACCCGCGGCTCTCCTTCGAGCGCGACGGCCGGCGGACCCGCGGCTCCCCTCGAGCGCGCGCGCGCGCGCCCGCTTGCACACACCGGCCCATGCTAATGTCAATATCAGCTGATTACTACTGATGGTATCCTTCATCAGTAGTAATCATCAGTAGATGGTATCCTTCATCAGTAGTAATAATGTATATATAATGTATGCATGTATGTGTGCATGCACGCACGCAAGTATGTATGTATGTATGGTGTCCAACCGCGAGGGGTTTCCGGGATAGACGCTGACAGCCACACTGTTTTCACATTCACGCACTGTACGGGGTGGACGTTCTCACTTTTCCGCGACCTTGCTGGACAGGCTCGACCATTTTCCTGCTGTCAACGTCCCCTATAGCACACAAGCAAATTGCGGTCCTGTCCTGATGCATCGGCTCGTTGGCCAAAGGCCTGCTGCGCTGGTCCGGCGCGGGGCCGGACTGCCCAGCTGGGACGCCGGAGCGCAGCGGCTATTTAAAGGCCCGCCACGCTCGCGAACCCACTGCACCAGCACCAGATGGCAGAGCGTCCGTCCCGCGACAGCCAGATCCCCCTCCGTATTGCTAATATCGCCTGGGTATGAGCCGCTCAAGGAATACCCTACCGGAGACAACCACTGGATCAAATATATTCATACTGCACTGGTCTGGGCGCTACCCAAACTGCGTCACCCAGCTGGCCGCCGTTAGAGCTTACGCCACCTTCGCGATGGCCTGTTGAGGAAGTGTCTTCCAAACAGCACTTCCGAAGAAATGTGATCGCACTTTCCAGCAGGGGCGGAGAACATCACAGACAGCCAATTTTGATCACCTGTGGACCACTTCAAACAGGGTGGTGTTCGCATTGTCGGGTTTCCGTTCGGCGCAAGCACCAGGTGGTGTGGTCTACCCACCGCAACACCAGGACGATTTAACACGGTTATCTCTCAGATTTTACCGAAAGCTGAAACCGACCGTTAGCTGATGCGTAGAATCCGCCTGACACCAAAAATAAATGTCAGTGACGCATAACGTTACAGGCGCTGTATGACCGCGCAGGCGAAGCGCCCGAAAACCTCAATTGCTAATACCACTGGGTCGTGAGATATGCCCCGAGGCGTTTCCATAACTGGAGTTGACATTGGTGTGTTCTTAGCGCCCTTGCACAATATTAATGCACGTGTTTTATTCGCGTTAACATTTTCAAAATTGCAGTGATAAGTGCAGTACAATCGAAAAAGACACCTCGGTCAATTTAGCAAACAGGTGACCAAGGTGAATGGCAATCCCTTTAGCTTAGCATAACGTCCATTCGTAGCCATTTCAGTGTATTTTGCATGCTCTTTCCAAACCTGAATAAAATCTGGGGTACCGGTATCATTCACCATGGCTCAAGACATGGCCGTGTCTCTTTTTTATTTTTACATGGCCGTGTCTCTTTTTTTATTCGGAAGCCGTCGAAATGAGACACTTGTCTACCAACTGTCATGCGGTTAGACTGCATTCGCTGTTCGGATTTCTGTATAGTTTGCTACTGTGGGTTATATGGTGCGTTTCATCCATCTACTACAGCAGCAGCTCTGCCTGGCCTACGGGTCACGACTCATATACCCCGAGGCTATTATAAAGGGTAGGGTAGGGCTCAGTAACGCAGGATATATATATATATATATATATATATATATATATATAAGGTAGGTCTTGAAGTAACGTCGATATGCGTTTGGCACCAAAGCGCGAAGAAAATACACGACAGACAATCACGCAATGCATTATCAGATTGTAAAACTCATTGAATACTGGCAACGATGGATAATTATAATGCAGATGAATTAACCCAACGAGCTGGGAGGGCGGGGGGGGGGGGGGGTAGACTACTACCTTTACATAGAATGATAAACGACAAAAGTGCCCTACACAAAACACGCTACGTTTTACCCAGGCCTTCGGATGCTCAACGCACATTTGTGAAAATTGATAATTTCGCCCCTTCAGCAGTGTCTCCGACTTTGGCAGTTGCTCTCCGCAGGTCAGAAATTATTTTGGATGTCCTTAGGGGAAGGGGGGGGGGGGAGTTCGCAAATTGACTGCCACCAACCCGAGCGCGTATTAAAGATTGCGTGACGTAGTCTGCGAGCAGTCGGACACCGATCTGGAGTTTGACCTTATTTGAGCCGAGTCATGACAAACGGATATCAGAATTTGACACAAACGAGTTCAAGTAGAGTCCCACCTATCCCGTGAATTTCATGCCCAAATCGTCTTAGTTTTCAGATCTCTGGGGTCAAATTGACCCCACCCGAGCGCATCGCATTCAAGCGGCCAACTAAACGCGTGCTAACAGTGTTCATTTCCTTAAACTGCCCCGCTAAGCTATCAAATAAATCTTAATTTTCACACAAGAGTGAAGCATCCTAATATCATGTCTTTCCTTGCACTAATGTCCTTCATCCTAATACTAATGTCTGACCAAATGTGTTATAAACACGTTCCCAATAACTGTGTCGTGACTGGTATAATTAGGTTGCATAAAAAATAGGTGTAGCGCCTTTTCGTTTTGACCCAGGCAATACGCTATAATAGGCTATAAATATAATGTATGATATTGACAATATATATATATATATATATATATATATATAACATTATATAATAGGCAATATGCTAATGGGCTATGAATGGGTAAACCGCGCACTGGAATTTTGCCGAGTGCCACTAATGCGCGGCATCCTGCAGAATACAAGACTAATTTTCGGCAAAATCGCTGGAAACCACAGTTTCGCCAAGCGAGATGGAGATATTTGTTACCTCAAACACTCTCCTGTTTCTTAGCGATGTCATGATAACGAGTAGGCTTTTCTATGATATCGCCAACGTCACTCCAAATTGTCGAGATGTTCAGCAACCTCCCCAAATGTGCAGCGTTCTAAGGACACACGTTGGCTATACCACGGAATATCGATAATACCTGGCGCAAGTTCGTGGCGCCACAGCCATCTGAACAAACCCAATGTCGAGATAACCCTCCTGAATCATACTTTGCACTCCGTTGTCCAGGCCGGACGGATATGGTAGTCAACCGCCCTGATCGCTCCACGCAAGAATCACGCTCGTGCGGCGCGCCATTTAACCGATCCACCGTCGACTGCCTGTACCAAGCTAGCCCTGAGGCCCGCTGAAACCGGTGCGGGCGCGCCCCGCGAGGGTCTGGCACTGGACACTTGGTATGCGACGACGGAAACGACGAGGATCGCGCGGAACTGGAGACAGAGGGGCGTTGCCCCAAAGATCAAGTTGATCATAAGATCAATTCGTTCCAGGTCCATTGATTATATATATATATATATATATATATATATATATATATATATATATACACCTCCCGGAAAGACAACATAGGAAAGGTTACCACCAGACTAAAAAGCTAAGAACGGACATACATAAAAGTTAAAAAATGACCTCTGACCTATGTCACGAGAGTAGCTGATTCCAAATTGATCCAAGTGAACTTTTCTTTTTTCCATTTCGTTGCACTAATTTTTGCCACCTCGAAAATATGTACAATGAGGATATCCACCGATGATCACGGGTGCTGCGTCGCTAGGAACATACAAATGCCAACCCCAGTACTGAGGTCGTCCTGAAAGAGAACGCCTTGGGCGCATATCTCGTGACCCATAAATGGGAGGGACCTGATATCGTGTCAGAGGGACCTGATATCCTGCCACAAGGACCTGATATCGTGTCAGATGGATTTTAAGCATGAGATAGCCCCAGGTACCAATTTTCAGTGAAATCCAAGACATGACCGAGTCAGCCGTGCCGCACTGGGTGGGAGATTGCACCAGATGTCTCGTGCCAAGTCGGACCTGACCACTCACCTCCCTTCTTCTTCAGGAACTCCTTGGCTTTCTCTTGGAGCTCGCGCTGCTCCTCAGTCATGGGCAGCTTGGACAGGTCCTCGGACTTCTTCTCCTCGTCCTCCTTCTTCCTCTTGTTCCTGAAAGGCGGCTGATGTAAGAGCAGGACGGCGGAGCGCGCCGCCCCACCGGCGGCACGGCCGCGTCACAGCGTCAGCCCTGAGAGGTGCCCGGGCCCACGCACGGATCTCCCCACCCCACCCCCGCTCCGGCAATGACTCGGAACGGTAAACCTGCTGTCTTAGGGCGAAACGGAGCAGAAGGCACTCGCAGCTTTAGTTCTAAAACACACTCAATACATATCTACCGAGCGGTGTGTTTTCTTGTCCTCCGCCGCAGCCCCCACCGTACACGTTGTGGCACACCACGTCCGGCAGGACCCACGGGCTGCGCAGGCTGCGTCATCCACCGCTAGTAAAGGACTCCATGATTCCGGTAAACCAATGGTTACCCATATAGAATGGGTGACGGATTGGGTTGGTTACATTTTTGGGGAAAACACGGGTATAAGTACGGGTATGGGTACAACATTTACGACACATCGGGTCGATACTTCAAGACCCATTGAACGATGTTTCCGCTGGCGCTTCAAGTCAAGACAAGCATGTGCAGGCTTACTCCGCTGCGCTTAAAGAAGAAATCGTATTGCCTATGTTTTGCAGTTGGATTCACAACCCTAGCTCTTCCGGGTGCCGAGATGTGGTGTAAAATAAGAAAAACTGTCGGTAACGGCCAAATCCACCTTGCTGGCTCTCGTACGTGTGACACGCAGCACGTGCGACATTAAAATTCACGCCACGTGGTAGTTTGGTCGAATGTCTGTCGGTTGCAGGCCACTCACCAGTCGCTCATTGCCCCGGGTGCCGAAGCTTTTAAGTTTGTGAAAAGTACGAGATTCAATCTCTCTGGAGCGCGTGGGTGTGACGCATAAGCCGTGCGCACGCAAAGGTGGAAACACACGACTGGCCGTTTAATTCCTCATCGCGGCATGCCGGTCCCGTGTCGTTACATGCCCCCGGTGCGGAAATAAGGCATCAAACGTAAAAACCGACGAAATCAGCTAAGTGCACCATCACGGGAAGTGTACGCTTGACACACATTATACTTGCAATTACGAAGGGGAGACAGCAAGTTTTGGGAATAAGCGTCCCCTTTTTCTTATAATTCGAAGCCCAAATGCTGGGACGGTGCCACGCCAACATCGCTTCTCAAAGGATGCCATCTTCCAGCTAAGAATGCCGTAACCCAAGGACACGTGGCGCCAAGTTTAACAACAATCGGCAAACTCCAGCCGTCTCAGCGTAATGACAAAACAGTGACACGACGACTTGTCCCAACCACGTGCGCCTGCTCGAAGACCGCGAAACGGTCTTCAAAGGAGCATTCAGCGGACCTATCGGCGCCCGGTTACAGTTCCTTGATGGCGCCCCGGCACGGGAGCGTCTCTAACGAGTATTGAATGGCCAATATGTTTTCAAATCGTTAACCAACACAATGCAGTTTACGGAACCTATTGGGCTCTGGTGTTATTGAATATCGCCACACAAAGCCGCTAGGCACGGCGAGACACCAGCCCAACCGCACCAAGCGCAGCGGTCAACTCCCTGACCCCGGCAGGTGCGACGGGACGCCTCCCTGACCCCGGCAGGCACGGCGAGACACCAGCCCGACCGCACCAAGCGCAGCAGTCACCTCCCTGACCCCGGCAGGTGCCACGGCGCGCCACCCTGACCCTACTGTCCAAGTACAGCGGGACCTTCGTGCTCCTGTCAGGCAGTGTGACATCACTCTACCCCTGACAGGTACAGTGGGACCCCACCCCCAGCCCCTGACAGGTACAATCGGACACCAACCGGCCTCTGCCGGGTAAAATGGGCCCTCACTGTACCACTGTCAGGTGCAGTGGAGACCCGGCCTGCGCGTGGCAGGAGCCGTGTGGCGTCGTACCCCGACGGCGGCCGTTCCGCTCGCCGCCGAGGCGGACGTGGCCGGCGGGCCGACAGCGTACGTGCCGCCACGGACCATAATAAAAGCCAATGGGCGCCGATCCAATATGGGCCGGCGCGGACGACGGCCGGCCACCGGGAGCGGCGCGCGGCGATCAGGCGGCGGCGGTCGGGAGCGCCGCCGCCTGATGGGCGCAAACCGGCCCGGCCGCCGAAGTGTGCCGCTCGGGCGCTGATGACCGGCTCTAACGACCCGGCGCCCGGACGGAGTGCCGCGCGTCCACCTGGCACCCGGCGAAGAGCTGGGAAGATGCGACGCCCCGGCGGATGTGTGCGAAGATAAGACACGCAGATGATGCGCGTTCCAAAAATGGCGTGTGGCGGTCTGACGGAGGGCTGGGCAGACCTGCGCCCCTAAGGTGGATGTGGTGAAAACCTGATAACCTGACGACGGACGGGCTCAGCCTGACTGCGGCGGGGGGGGGGGGGGAGGGGATCGGCACTTTCTGAGCCTAAGACGACCGATGCTTCACTAATCCAACAGCACACATCATCAACTCGATGGTATCCGACGCATCCGACGGTAACGCGGTATGCACTTTTGGTTGGTCCGACTGTCCAAATTCCGACGCCATCTCCGGCCGTTTGTGCGCCGTCCTCCGGGCATTGGCTCTACGGGGCTGAGTATATGCTTTGGACCCGCTGCCACAGCGCGCCTCACTCAATCTCGTTGCGTTGCTGATACGCCGGATCAAAGCTCCCACACTGCCAGACATCAGCATGCTGCAAACCCGCCCTATCTGCTTTCATGTGAGTTATTGTTCTCGAAAGACGCGCCTGGATTCCATAACGGAGGCCATTTGGCCACCCGGGTTAGACTCAACCTCATAAGAGACACCTCTTTCCAGATAGCGCGAGAGACGGATATGCGGTATCAAAAGGAAAAACATCAAAGGGAAACGACACATGGGGGCTGCTTAAGAAGCTCATCCGAGGTGGCGCGGCTTTGGTCGCGCAAATAAACACGTGAGCTGGGATAATGGGGGAAACCAGACGCCACACCAAAGGAACACAACCATTCATCATTCCTTGCCTTCTGCGCTTGACACATGCATCCTACCTAACGGCTTACTGGACGTAGAAAGAGGAATGTGTTATCCTATCCTAGACGTGCTTTCTGCGTGGCTGACGCGATTAAAGCAAGCGCCTTTCCCCAAACAACCGAGACGCCGTCTCCGGCTCTCTAATCTGACTATGTACTTTTCAAACATCGTCTCTGTCACTTTGTAGCCGTTGCCGGCTATTTCACGCCTACATTTTACTATCATTCATATCAACAGGCGCAAGGCCAGCCACGTAGGTTCTGGAAGAGTCGTACCAACATGTGTGACGTATGCAACATATGAAGCCCTCGTCAGGTGTCAGGGACGAGCAGATACAAGTTCAGTCCATCATTTTTTCGTACACACCTACGTAATATGCATGCAAATGAGTGCGAGACAATATGCTGAAATGTCAGCCGTCAGTACAGGTTCCTTACCTGTAACTCCTGAAATTCGAGAATTAGACGCAAATAGTTTAAGCACGCAAAATTATGCGTTAAGTCACTGGCAAAAAGAAGCTAAATCATCTCAAAACCAAATTCATCAGAATCATTCTCTGCCATTTTTCCACAAACAGAATATTTCAAGCTACACTTTTACGTCCACTTTTCAAATAAAGTCGAGTACCGAAAATAACATGCGACAGAGGACAACTATATCCAGCACCTAAACTATACAATCTAAATCTAGACGGAATTCCATCCAGCGCATGTGGAAAAATCACGGGGCATCTGGTTGAGCTATTACATCGTGCGATAAGGACGCGTATAAGGCACTTTGCGCCCATACTGACGTGTTGCGTAATTAGCGTCGAGTGCATATTGCAGAGAATCCTATCGCCTTAAGGAATTCCAAAAGCTTGCCTACCTCAATCACGCACCAATCATCGCTAAACTCATGACGGCAACCCTCTGTTACCCGCCCTATGAATCGCGTCGTCCGAGATAATGCCAAAGCTCATCACGAAAGTGACATCTCATCGCTTGACTGAATGACGTGAAGTACGTTAAGAGGTTCACCATAGCGTGAGCAGTTTGGCCTGGCTCCGCCAGACAGCGGGTAACTGTGCGCTCCATGCGTGATCGGTGCGGAGACCGCACTGTGGAATTTTTGCGCGCCTTGATTTGCGAAAGCGCGAGGGCCACTAGCCTACATGCGGTTGCATCGCCCAGGGCTTGATGTTAAATCATGCGTTTCACTTGTGCTGCCACTTCCACCGTGCGAAAGTTTCGAAGTGTGCGTGAACATATTTAGCAGGGAGAGGAGTGGCACGGGTGCCCGGAGTCTGTGCCCCCGTCCCCGTTTAGCAGCATCCGCGAGCTCATTTCCCGGGCATGCCTGCGTGACTTCGAGGTCCTTAAAAGCACGACCCTTTTCACCACCCTGTCACGCACAGTCAGGCAAACCCAAATTTTGTTTAACGGGACAAGCGGGGTTAAAACGTTTCAGAGTTGAGACCCTGCTCAATGAGCCTACATAATGAGGAGTTAATCCTCATCCCGTGTTCCAATAAAACAGCGCTTTCGAGAAAACAATTAACTGGACCATAAAAACAGACGGACGTGCGGGCAACGTGAAGGACCGAATGCCAGTCACTCACGAGCGCCCACCCGACACCGTCAGTCGATTCACCCGTGTATGTAAACGTATACCTGTCATAACATGCCAACTGCTCTGAAGTTCTCGACCGAAACACGTCTGGGCGGACATGACCTTTCTTCAGTTCAGACAGCGGCGTGTCACTTATTGGCGGGGCTAGATGCCACGGCGGCTGGCAAATGTTGCACTAACATCATACTACGCAGTCGCATACCGCTTGCATAGAACAGACTCCCAATCCCAACACAAAAGCGGCCGGCACGCTACACAGACTCGCCTCAGAACAATACCACCCGCCGTCTTGAGAACGCCGCATCATATGCGGGATGCACATAGCATTGGCGTAGCTTGTATGCAAAGCACATGCCTAACAGCTCAAGTCCCGCAGAAAGCGGTGGCTCGCGGGCTTCTGCATTAGGGCTCAAAGTCAGCAACATCCGAAAAGCACCCGTGCCAATGCGACGTGCAGCATTGTGGAGAGCGTTTAAGGTGTGTGTGTAACGTTCGCCAGCATTGTCATAAAAAACGGGCATAGTCAAGTGTGGAACGAACGAGAGAACGATACAGCAGTAGCGTGTTACTATCTGCTCCATAAGACGCACGTGCCGCACGTTTTAAAATGTGTAATGTCTTGAAACACTTACCACGCAGCACTTTCCGCTAAGTTCTATAGGTGAGCCGATGGTGAGGATAGCACAAGAATTGCAACCGTTCCTAGCGATGCACTCGAAGGGACATCTAGACAATGCCTACGACGACAAAAATGCATCACAACGGTCCTTGATCCGGAGAACTCAAACCCAGTAGCTATGCTCCATCTTTCAGGTTGGGCCACGGCCAACTGAAACTGCCACTCCAGTGACGGAACACTGGATGTAGTCGTGTCCACACGTGTCAAAATCGTGTAATCGTGAGCCAAACCGTGTCAAACCATCCATAAGCAGAGCCTGACCAACGGACCGTGAACTTGACGGTATCTTTCGGATATGAAACTGTCCCCGTTAGCTCAAAAAACTCGATCAGCTAACAAGTTCTGTAAAAATGCGCCCATAAAACCACGTACACCATGATGCGTATGAAGCTAAATTATACTATAGCGCCATGTCGTGTCACACGTGCCTTGGATGTCACAACGACGCCCGATCATCAGGAGAGGTCTGAGTCACGACAGTTGTGCCATGTACACGCGCGCCTTAGAAAATTAGAGTTATTGGAAAAGAGATGCTCAGCTTGGCTGGTGCAGCCGGTAGTTTGAAGGGTATGGAACCGTGAAACATACGATTAAGTTCATATATCATAAGTTCATCAAGATCAAGTACATACTGAAACCACTTTCAGTGATTGAAAGGATTGGGACTATTCACCCGGTCTCATTGTTCCCGTATCTACACCAGGCTGGCTGCTCCCATGCTCAATGCGTCCTGCTCCTATACCGAGTTTTACTTATGCACATATTCTAAGGTGGGTTGCCAGCAATGCTTGCAGCAATATAGTAATGCCAGCAATGGGTACTATCCATCTGTCTCCCCCCCCCCCCCCCCTCCTCAACTCAAGGAAGAAATCGAAGCCATCCGTGCCAGCTTACAGCTTGATAACGTGCACTTCCGTTATTGCGTCAGAATCTATATACGTGCGTTGTAATCTTACACTGTATATACGCTTTTCTGCCCAAATGTGCAGGAACACAAGAATCGATGTTCCCAAAACGCCTTGAGACGGAGCCCCCAAAACTACATCTGTGACATTGTAGACAATTTCTTGTTGGATGTTTTCCGAAACGTTTTAATGACGAGGAGGATTCAGCGTCCGCCACATGTCTGAAATAACCTATCCGCGCGCTCAGACAGTGGTAACGGCTGGACAGGCCGCCGTTCTGACAAATACTTACACCTACTGCCCGCCAACGCGGCGGTCTCCGAGCTGTGCCCACATCCGGCCGTCCGGGACAGCCGCCGGCGCGCGCGCCGCCCACGCTATCTGCCCGCGAGGAGTGCACCGAGCCCGGACGGCGGAGGCGAGGTCAGATCTGACACCACTCACTGGTCAGCGAGGACGAACGGCTTGGCGTCGCGCCGCTCAGCCGGCTCGTCGTCGGGAAGGTCGAGCACGGTGAGGTCAAAGTCGGAGCCACCCTCCAGCTTGATGACGACCGAGTCGAGGAAGCGGAGCAGCGCGTCCGCCTGGTCGCCGTCCAGCCGCACCTGGCCGGCCGTGCTGAGAAGCTCGGTGAACACGTCCACGCGCCGCTGAGGACCGCCGGCGGAGCGCGGCGTCAGTCGGACCTCCACGCGCCTCGGTCGGCGACCCCGCCGACGGCAGAGGCGCCCCCGCGCCGCGGGTGGGGGGCTTTTTTAAACAAAAACATCCCTCTACTTTTAAACATGCACATAACAATGTGTATGACAGTGCTCCGGCAGACAGATATGCCTCCACATTATATTGGTGAACACCACATCAACATAACAGACGACTAAATACCGCTGTTCCAAGGAACGGCATGCCCTACATGCCCATTACATTTGTACAAAGCTGCGCTGCGAGATAATCTAATTGCTGAAAATGAGCGCAGTATTCCGCAAACTCAGACAACTGAAAGAACGATCACGATTCTTTAACCAGCGTGTTACGTTAGCAATGCACGGCAAAGTGTAAATCATTACCGGTGCAGTGCATTAGTACTTGGTGGTAAGGGAGCACTCACCTTCAGGTTGCTCACTTGCTCGTCCTGCCGCTTGACGCACTCCTCTGGGTGGTACTTGGCCTTAAACCTGTCCGTCAAAGAACAGCGGCATTAGCGCACGGTGGCCGGCCGGCAGGCGAGTAGCGACAGCGTGCGCCGCGCTCTAGGTGGCGGCCACCAGCCCACCCACTGCTGCATGGCGCTTGAATAAATACTATTGCACTGACTGTGAAAACCCCCAAGCTTTTCCAGCTATCTGAAAAGGCGAACGTTAGAAGGTGGAAAGCATATCGCTATATTTTTACATAACAAATCGTCGCAAATGGTAATCCGAAACCTTACTGTCAAATGTAATGAAGTACCCAAATGTCATTACACCAAAACGGGATTTAGGCGAATGGCGATCAAACGAATGGAAATCACGGAATGGTTAATCAAACAAATGCCCTCAGTCGAAATGTAAGTTTGACAAGAGGCAATTTGACGAACGCGAACTCTCCAAATTGGTCATTTGGCTGAATTCATTTTGAAGAAATGTGAATCGACGAACGCAAACTACCTGATACGGTAACGGCCGTACAACGTCCGCGAATTACATTACACACTGGGAGCATTGCTGGTGAGGCGTAACCAATATTCCTAAGGACATGCAGCCATTTGATTTTGTTTGACTTGTTCAGTTTTTTTATAAAGCTGCATGTATCCACGGAAGAATAGCCTCCACCTCTCTGGCCTCATATGACACGTTACAGGTAACATCTGTCGATGTTCACCAGAGCTATCCGATAAATGCTCTTGCGGTCACAGTAGTGTGAACCCAATTTAGCCATTCCAGTCACCTTCGCCGTTGCTCGGTCACACCCATATGACAAAGTTTGACAAGTGCTTTCCAGAGCCATTTCTGCTGCGACTCTAGCTTGCTAGTTTTCGAAACAGTAAAGGGCCTGCTCAGGCCTACCCTCGAAGAGTTCCTCTTAAAAGCACCCACAAGGCGAAGGCTGCAGGGCCTTTGTTTACAGCCCATTTACCTTTCGATGCGCAAGCACAAGACTGAAGAACGTTCAGCTAATCATAATCATCTTTGACCGATGAGTTTGTCGGCTAATGAGAATTCAACTGACGACCACTTCGAATAACTAGCATTTCACTAAAAAACATTTCAGCAACTTGGTATTTGGTAAGTATGCAGTTTAACTTATTCACATTTCGTCAACTTGACACGCTGGCGAAAAGGCCTCGCGGCAAATCGTTCATGACTTTTAGCATACCACCTAGTCAACACTACAGCAAAAAGGCACATCAATAAAGCAACATTTCTTGAACGCATTCGCGAGAAAAAAAACAAGCAGCTGAATGCATTTCGATAATTTGTGCGACCTCGACTGCAGCCGGGCGCGGCCACGTCGGCGGGGAAGCGTCGGACAGTCGCCATTCGACTAGAACGCTGTAAAAATAAAACCTCTGCCCAAAAATCTGCGACTATATTCGCTGCTATTAAAGTGGCACATGCTGTACAAAGGACCCTCTGGCTTATTTGTAAATATTTGATGCCACTGCTTTGTTTGTCACTTTGTTTGTTCGTCACTTTGATAAATGTTTCCACGCATTTATCGTTTGCGCCTGCCAAAAAAAAAACATGATGATTCCAAGACATCTAATGAAATATCAGTGGAGCATTCGCCCGAAGAATTGTGTACAAATTGAAAAGTAAAAAGGTTGCATTCGGCCGCGACTAGAGAATACGTGTTCCTAGTGTTTGTTTCATTCCATTTGGCAGTGACGCGACTGATCTCCCGGGTATTCATATATTGTGATTACTTCAAGCACGGCATTCAGTCAGTAGTAACTAACTTTTGATCCACCGCCAATGCTTGACACCATTCATTGATTTGCTGATGATGCAAATGTTGTGTTCGTGTTGAATTCCGTTTAATGAGAGTGGTTTTGAATGTTCTGCGGAAATACCCCACGGAAGCTCACAATCGCATGCACGCTCCGAACGCAGTCCAAACCCACGCAAGCTGGCATGCACGAATGATTTTTGCACAAAGGGTGTCTTTTTTCTGATACAAATTGCATTGCACTGTGTATTGTAAGCTTTAGACACAACAACTTTCATTTACGACAGGTAACAGGGCGTGTTAAAGTATTTTTTGGGCCCAAGTCTGTTCGATGAGACCGCCTAGGATGCACAAAACACGTACTTAACAGTTTTCTTGGTTTGTGACGGTTTTTCATTGCAATGCCTCGCTTGACACGGACTGTTTTGACGCGCATGTCAAACGCACGTCAAGAGCGGTGACGTCATTAGTTTTGTTTCAATGGCCGAGTGGTGAGCGTGTCGGACCCCACGTGGGGGGTGGGGGGATTCGAATCCCAGTTGGGCTGATACCCATGGGTGCTAATATGCCAATGCGGTCGCTGGCGCTCCATGAAATGGGCGCGACGTGCGTTTGGTTCCATTTTATGAAATAAAAAGGTAACGTGTGATATGTACGTGCATATATGTACACATATATAATACATATATACCATACATATATATATATATATATATATATGTATATATATAATACATATATATATATATATATATATATATATATATATATATATATATCAGGGTGCTCGAGTAAAAACTGAAGATGGCTTGCTCGCTGCACAGAAAACCATACCTGATCCCGTGCGAGGCGCCAAAATATGCAACACAAATTTAGTTAGCTCATAGTCCCTAGAGGAATGCCAATTTTGAAAATCCAGACCAGATTTGGAAAGGAGACTGACAAACTACTTCATAAGACGTACACGCGTCATGATGGCGTCACGTGCTAACAGTACGTATGAACTGATTTCAGGTCGCACTATCCATCAAGACAATTATGTGAAGTGAGACATGTGCCGTTTTCACGAAGGATTACGGAACGAGATTATACAGGTTTCCGTAAAGATATCAGCTTTCATTTTCTAACGGCGCAATTTTATCAGCGATTTTCGGCAATTTTTTGCAGTTTTAGAAACATCTCTGCAGACGTATGTTTTGATAAAATTGCGGTTGGCTGGCTAAAATTAGATCATGCCTTTAAGAGGATGTACTACACCCCATTTCTCCCTATCGAAACATAGCAAAGTTTAAAAAAAAACAGCCGGTGACATGCCTGACGCAGAGGCGACAAAGCAATCTCCACTGTCTTGGCAGCGTCCATCTTCATAGGCGTACAGCACGAACAGAGCTTACATACCTTGACATGAACCACGATGAATGCTCCTTGAATTTAATGATCCGCAAAGTACGCTTTGCCCCACATAGCCCGACGTGAACATCAATGGCGCAGCCAGCATCCAACCAGTCCACTCGGCTGACTGCCAGGCCTTGTATTGGCCTAGAATTTGGGCGAACCAAAGCCGTGGACTGAAGAAAAGTGCCTATCAAGAGTTTCGTTTCGTGTAATACACTCATTATTAGCCAGATGCACACACCTCAGCAAAATATCAATGGCATTGCATGAAAAAATCATAAATATCTATCATTAGATCGGAAGCGAAAACGTGGCTAAAAGGATGAGATTTCGGGTGATGCACGGATTTGCGCCACGCGACGCGTGCTTGATTTCGCATGCAAATCATTCGGTTTCTTGCAAGTTGTAAAGGGATTCTAACCAAAGAAATACTAAAATGATTGGAATGATGACACCTAAGCCACCCTTACAGTCACCGTACAGGAATGTGATAAAGATTTGGACGCAAAGATTGACGATTCTGTGACTTAGACGCAAAATAAAATTAGTCGGGGTAAAACTGCGAATAAATTTGCCTAGCTATCTGCCTGGGTTGCCCATAATTCGCTCGGTGTGCCTTAATTTGTCCATTTTGCCTGCGAGGCAAAATGTTATTTTACAGCTGGTGTCCCTCCTTCGATTACACACATCTGCTTGTAATTCAACATGGGTGTTGCCCATCTAGTGACATAAGATATCTACAAAAACAAACCTTTCTTTGTCCGGGTGTTACATTACACAATTTAAATTTAGAGGTTCATTCTAAAAAACTGTATTTTCAGCGCATTGATCCATCCTGAACACGGACGGCAATGCCTATGTTATTTTTAATGGCCCACAAAACATTGCCTTCCAGCCGCTTTTACCACGCTTGCAGGGCAGGAACACGATGACAACCCAGCTAACACAAAGCCGATAAATGAGTTGGCAAAGGCAAAGCTGGATGCCAGTCAGTGATGCTTCCCTGCGAATCATGAATCGCGGCCCGACACGCACGCACACCCGAGTGGTACACGCACACACAAACGTCCCGAGCCAAAGGCGGTGCAACACCGACCCATGAGCCAGCACAAAACGGTTGCGACCCGCACCGCCACCTCTCCTCACCTGGTCCGTGCACAGCCGCCGCCGGCAGACGAGCACGCGAGCGCGCGCCGCGGGCCACGGTGGACCCCCTAACTAGCCTACGACTCGTCGCCGCATCTAACTGCATTGCGCGCAGTGCCCTAGCTATCTCGCGCGGTCGGGGCGCATCGGTCACAGTCACAGCGTGGCGGGCTGGCCGACGCGGCCCGTCTTCTGGCCTGTTGCTGGCCGAGACGCAAGCGCTGCTCTGTGAAGGCAGACGGGAGTTAGTCAGGCGGCGGCAGCCCCGGCCGGTCCGCGGCGCCGGCCGCGGGGCACACTCGGCCCGTCGGACTCGGCCGTCAGCGGCACCGCCGAGGTCGGTCGGACCGGCCGGGGCTGGCCAGCGCCGCGCGGGAACACTGGCACCGCTGCCGCCGCCCTCAGCACCGGCCACCGCCAGGAGAGGACCCGGCGGTCTGCGCCCACACGGCAGAGGCCTCAGCCAACACCCACCGCCACTGATGTTCAGCCCGATCGGGCAAATATGCGCATGTCTGGTGAGAACTTCAAAAAAGAAGAAGAAGAAAAACATCCAGAAAGACGTGAAAAGGCCCCGTAATGTGATATTTAACGTGACGGGGGGCACCAGTACGGTGGAAGGCGGAGGGGAAGGGAGGGCGCTGAAGCGGGAGGAGAGGGCGGCCACCACCTTCGTCACTTCACTTGTCGCCACTCGCCGTCACTGCACTGCACCGCCCTGTTCACCACTGACCAGCGTCACCAGCAGCACCGCATCGTCACCGCCGCGCGTCACCGAGTCATCAGCCGCCGCACTGCACCACTTTCACCACTGCCGACCGCACGCCGCGCCGGGCCTTGTCCTCCCTCTTTGTCCTCTCGCTTGTCCTCTCAGGCCGCGCGCCGCATCTCCGACCTCCCAGCGGGACGGGAAACGGCACAGCCCTCGCTCCTACCCCGACACGGGCCAACTCCCGGTCCCGTCCGCATGTCACCGCCGCCAGAGACGGGGGCAGGCGCGGCTCCTGTTCACCAGCGAACGGTGGACACTCACCATTCCTCCTCCTTGTGCGCCAGGAAGAACTCATTCAGCTGCTGTCGGCGGAAGTCGAGTTTGTACTCTGTGTACTTCTTGATGGCCTCGTCGTCCGTGATCATGTCGTCCTGAGACGCCAGGAACGCCTTGAACGTCATCATAGGAGGCTGGGTCGGCCCATCCACGTCCGGGTACCTGCGGCCGCCACAGAACAATGAACACATGAAACCAGTGACAACAGACACACAAATAGAAATGTGACATTGCACGAGCGCCGCGTCATGAGTGACCGAGGCAGGTGAATGTTTCGTGCAGCCTTCAACGTAAAACCACTTATCGGGCGTTCGCACGTGCGAGCTCGGATTACCTATCTTTTTTAACACCTTTTGGCGGTAGCGTCTGCACTCATTCGGAGCATTTTCTGGTTTCGTGTGTCCTGGTTTCCAAGCGTAATTTTTGCTTGACCGTGCTCAAGCTTTTCACTCGTGATCATAAGCGCAGCTAGCAACGTTGAGTGCTGCCATGAAAACCAGTGTTTGCAGCATAACGCTGCTGTTTTTTCTTTCGTTCATTGATGTCTTTGGACGCACCGACTGCTGTGGTCATTTGGCGCTCATAGTTGTTGAGCCATTCCCCCCTGATACTCTGAAGAACCAATACGTTTTCAAAAGAAGTCAGCATGCTCACAGCTCAACATCAATACAACTTTGTTTCGCGACTGGTCACAAGAATCAAAAGTATAGCCCCAAAGACGTCACAGGCGGTGGCATGGCAATACATATCAATGGCCACATCGTCGGTAAATATTAGTTGTCAGCACAGTGCTGATATCCGCCCAATATCCACGGCGCATAAAAAACGAATGAACGTATTCATAAGAACCTCCAGTCTTCAGAGGGACGAAAGAAGGGACAAGTGATATAAGCGTGGTCTACTGAGGCGTCCGCTGTCCGCTGACTGACAGTTGTTGGCGGCCACGATCTCCGCATACAGGAATAAAAACCCTTCCCTCTTCTTCTACCACTCCCGGACTCGCCTCTGATGCACCGTCGCCATAGAAGAGGATATTTACCACACAGAGGTGGAGGATGATACGTGACGTGTCATTTCAGCGCCCAATGTTTAAAATGATATCAGCTCCCTCAATTTCATCACGGGAGGCACTCCCCGCCCAAATTGTTGCTTTCCTTTCTCTCATTTTACACGTGCATGTATTCCCCTTCATTATCTATTCACAGGACTGTAATGCTGGTCTAGATTGGCCACTACGCCACTTTGTACCGCTTTGCTCCACCTGAGTACGCCTTCGCCACCGTGTATAACAATAGATCTTGCAGATGTTCGCACGAAATACAAAGTTTTGCATCTGACGCCGAAGAGTGTCCCTTACATGGAGGCATTGACGACCCAAAAGCTCTTCACATTGCGGAAACTTCGTTTTTTCCAGCCCTGGAATCGCCCCTCCCATGCTTTTTTGGTGCATTGCAATGAAGACACCCATGGTGCAACTGTTTCATTGGATTAACTAGTTTCACGTTTCAACAGCAGTAACTCCTGTAAAAGCAAGGCAGCGCGCATAATTCCGTGCCGATCACCACATCAGCCATCCATAATTTTACTAGAAGTCCTCCCAAAACCGGACCCTGGAGCCTTGCCGTGCACCCTTACCTATGGCATAACACGAGCAAAAATCTTTGGAAAAAGACGGAAGTTTCAACGACCTGCTCTGAAACATTTCGGAGAAACCAGCGAAAAACAGCAGGGGCCAAATCGCCCACCCTAACCGCCTATAATAAAGGGGTAACTTGGGCTGACGTGACCAATTCGCACTGTCCTAGCACTGAATAAAAGTCAACAGTTAAAATGGTCGCATCGGAGAGACTACCGCTTCCCCGAAGGCCAGTACGCGGCGACAGCCAAGCCAATTTAGTCATTATCCTGTGTGCTAACGCCTGCCAAAAGAGGATATTACGTCCAGTCCGGCCGCAGCTAAGACCTTCGTGATGGCAGAGAGTTCAATATCCGGAGAGTTCTTCCAGCTGATCAGCGACATCGGTATTGTGCGTCATTGAGACTTAACGACACTCAGCTGCAGAGGCTATCTGACGTCACCCGCTTCTCACCCTGGCAGGGACGTCGTCCTTGACGCTGCACACCAGATAGCAGAGAGCCATCCACTTCCAGGAATCGAATTTTGGTGGATCGCAGACACTCAACTATATCATTTATCATCAGCGCAAAAAGACTTCCATTAAACACGCGTTCTTGAAGAACGCCGCTTCGCCGCTCGGCAACAGCCCAGCAACTCACCGCCCACTCAGACACGGACAGATCGCTGTCGTAAGCAGTGCTCTTTGATGTTCACTGCTAAATACCTTATTATGTTTGGTGCTACATAACACGAGAACATACAATTATTCCTAGCTATAACGGACATAAGACTTAACTTATAACGGATATAAGTCTATGCTTCTCTGCAAACGCCAGGTCTATTTTATTGGACAATTCTTGGGTGTTCAATGTCCTATCTCCCCCAAGTTTCAGGATTGGGGCCGCGACTGAAATGCTCCAACCTGCAATACCAATGATTCGTTGCCCAACTGCACAGAGCGGGTGTAACGGTTTATATCATCCATGTAGCCTCTCCATGAAGCTCGTTTGGCGTCGCGTTTGATGCGTTTGGCAGATTCTCTGACCGTTTTAAAGGGGGGGGGGGGGGCATCTTTGCGGGAACGTTTCAGACACATATTCCCGTGAACCCCCAGGGCATCGAATAATAACACTGGGTAGCGCCAATGTAACGACATCAAGACATCGTAAGGGCATCAAAATTAATGATTTTCGAGTCCAAACTTTACCGTCAACGCCTTGTAACATCACTGCATTTTCTCCCTGCAGCCGCGACCACCATCGCCATGACAACCGGCGCGACACCTCTACCGGTGCAAATAGAGGACCGTTTGTGATTGGCCCAGGGAGCAACAGGAACCTGTTGCCAAAAATCGCATCGGTTGAAGTTTGAATGAGTGCGTCACTGCGGACCATGTGAATTCCCATTTCCAGAGTCAAAGTGCATCTCGAAAAGAGTCACTGTGGTGGACGCCATAGGGAATAAATCAACGCCATCGCATAACGTTTCGTCGAATTCGTGGGATGATGGCTTCATGTTCGCATGGACTTTTGTCTATAGTGTCTTAAGCTTTCGTAAGATTTATTACACAAACATTTTGACAAATTGGTGTGTTGCAAACATGACACAGCACACGCGTTGGAAAAAGCAAAGCAAACGAGTTGTATCATTTTCATAGAAGTAAGCAGGGAATCCAGTGTGCTTTCTCCCGGAGGAGTGGCTACTTTCTGAGAGAATCTGAGCTACGCCGAAGGATTTCGAGAAAACTAGTACTGCTGATCCAAGCGTAAGCGTCAGATGTAACGAGTGAAAGGTACAAAAAGGCGGCATGCTCCCTTTAAAGACGATCAGACTGTCACTGAAAAATACGTAAAAACCTTGAAAGGTTTTCAATCCTTCCATTAACGAAAGGTTAACAGCACTAACAAAACTTGACGGCACGCTTTCATTTACGAATGATTGCTTTGCAGTTGTTCGACCTCCGAGGGACAGGGATTCTGCCTGGCAAGCGTGATGTGGTGGGAATGCACGACCTCCTCGTCTCACGAATAAGCAATGTCACTTGCTCGGTAACAGAAGTCGCATTATCGCCCCCCGTCGGCTGCATCACAAAAGCGTTCTTCCGTGCACCGCTGCCAGGCCGCTCCACGCAAATTCCAACAGGGAAGTCTTTGGCCTGGGTGTGCGGTGTTCGTCACAAGCCACATTGCAATGAAACTAAAATTCATTTATATTGTGATAAATCTATCACATCAAAAGGTTAACGCGCCAAGACAACCGACAAAAAAAAAAATAGTGGGGAGCATACAGCGAGATCTGTCGCTGAGATAGACCCGAACGGAGGAGACACATGGGTGAGACGGCCGGTGTTTAGAACGCACAGGCCATTCAACTTTAGTGAGCGTTTGAGGAGCAAGCCTCGGCGGCTTGCGTGACCACAGCGCTAAGAATATCTATGGAGTCGATGTTACCCGGCAGCACGAACGGCCGCGGCAGCTGGTCGAAACCCAATTGCAATGCGGAGTCCGACACTTCCTCAGCGGGATGTAGGTATGCCAAACATATCATTAATTTCAGTGTAACAGGATCGACAATGACAACCTAAAGGTCAGTGGCTAGAATTACCAGTGAGCACGGTACATATACTGCGATTCACTAAGGCCGTCCCTTACGGCGAGCAAACGTGGCGGTCCTCACATCCTTTCGAAAGGTAGCATATCATTTAATGCTAAGGAACGCGTCAGTTGAAAACTCGGTCTCCTATACGCATGCCACAACTGGGTTAACATAAGATGAAAGTGGAGGTCAAAATACTCGCTTTCCAGCCACGCATGTTCCATTGTAAAAACCTCAGTGGCATGCTGTGAGCGCATATGTGTGGGGTGAGAGGCTGAAAGTCAGCAGCGTGCGTCAGCCGTGTCCTAAGTGTGGTGACCGGTACGGATTCTCGCGCCTGGCCGGTCCGCTTGACGGCTCCCAACTTCGGCAGAGCCCAGCCGGACACGAGGTCAGGTCTCGGGCCCTCCACCCTTTGAGGGCGACGCAGGTCAGGAACCAAGCCCGGGAGGGGTGACGGTGACCCTCTCCAACCGGGGTGCGGACCGCGCACGGAGGAGGCTCGTAGGTCCCGGCGGTAACCCCCTCCCCTGAGGTCGTTTTAAGGGCGCGGAAGCTGGAGCGCACGAAGGCCGAGTCCTCCGCTGTCTTTCGTAAGGCGCAGACTCCCTTGGGCGCCAACAGTTGTCCACCGGGACAGGGAAGTAGCAGGGACGCGACGCAGGCCCCAGCCGGGCTGGACACGAGCCTAGCCGTCCTCCAACGGCCGCGCGGCCGGCTCCGTCCGCACAGCCACCCCTCGGTGGTGTCTGTGGTACCCACGTCAGTCAATACAGCCTGCCGCCAGGGCGCACAGGGAGGAGGGCTGAACAGCTCAGTGGCCGGCGCCGGAGTCCGGTCCGAGGCAACCGACACCATCGAAGCCGTGACCGCACTCTTACTGACCTCACTGACGGGGGTTTGAGGATAACCCTTGTGCTTTCACCAGGTGCGACAGCATACACCAGGT